GACACAGGGCCGTCCGGTTGGTGTTTGTGAAGCCACGAGAGCGGTTCGCGTGTGAATGTGCGGAAGGCTTCTGGAAAAAAAACACAATTTTATTGAAGAAATAGCATGCAGAATACGTACTAGCCCACTTGGAATCCGGATTGATCTCGTCCTGGAAGTAGGCGTACGAGAAGATCAGCATGCCGACGCCGAAAGCGATTAGAGAGTTCTGGAATTAATATGTATCATTTTCAGCCTAAAATCGTTCTAAAATGTGCTAACTTCTCTGAACGAGAGTCTCTTTCCGCCACGTGGCAGCTGATTCTCAGTGATCTCCTTCCACTCGGCCTGTCCGTCTTTTCCGCGCACCAGCACTCGAAGAAATCGTGTCAATCGCATATCGACCGATTTGAAAGTCTGAAAATCTAAATTTCTTGTTCTTCACTTGATTCCGTAAATTCAATCCCTCGAAGAGAAAGCGGAAACGGAGCCAAAAGTCAGCGAGTGGTCATGTAATTCGATATGTCCAAAATAGGGAGAAAGCTCAAGAAAAGGGCAATCGGACCCGCGGCCGGATTCGCAATTGGAGCTCACAGAGCAAGCGGAAAGAGGGAAGCGGTCAGTTGTGTTTTGATTGTAGCAGTTTGGTAAATTTTGAAACAGAGAACTGCAAAATGTAATTACCGACGACGATAGTTTTGGGTATTTTCAGTTAAACAACTGTTTTTTAGTGTTTCTTATGAGAGAAATGAGTTTTTGCGTTGAAAAAACTGCGCGAAGTTAGCCGCGGCTGAGAAGTTTCCAGGTGGAAAAACTCTTCCAACACGCGAAAATTAACAAATTTCTGGTGAAAGACTTGCAAAAAATTACACAAAAACCACTTAAATTCATTAACAAAAAGCTTTAAAAGTTTCGTTGTAACTTTTCGAGCCTTTTTCTTCCTCTAAATTTTTCATTCATGACTGCTGGATTTACAGAACAAGACAGTTGTTGAGAAATTACTAAAAATTAAAAATTCACAATCCGGACCGCCTAGTGACAGATGTGCTAAAACTACAATTTTACAGAGACCAGTACAAAAAAGATGAAAGAACAGAAATTTAAGGAAAAGATCGTCGACGGCTACCTGCCGTGTTCCCTTCCGAAAACGACCTTCCGCTTGATGTGATTGTCACCCACACTCCTCACGCCTTTGGAATTCGTCTCGCAGCTGTCTTTCGTAGCCTCACGAGGCCAAAAGTGTCAATTCCGGCGATTTTCAAATGTTTCCTTCCCCGCGCGACTCGGACGATCAAAATCTGGGTGTGTTTCGGCAGAAAACTTCTCAACTATACATTCTGGATGTGTGGTGCAACACATCTTCTTCTTTTTCCTGCTCTCCGCCCGCCGGCTCGCTCTCCTTTCTTTGCCGCCTACTTAGTGCAGAGTGACCGACTTTCGCTTCTCTGCGTCGTGCGCCTTTTTTCGGAGCTCGTCCGGGGGGTGTCACACCAAAAACGGGCGGAGGCTTGTATCTCATTGTTTGCCCATCATTTTTCTCTTCCCTTTTTGTGTGCATGTTTCATTCACATAGACACCCCCATCGCGTTTTTACTCATCTTTTTATTGAGCTGACCTCGCTTTTGCATTTTTTCTAGAATCGCTAACGAGAAATCATTAAAAACTAATCCGAAAGACGTAAATACGAGAGTATCCTTCACTCGCACACACTCATTATTTCTGCGAATGAAAGCAGTCGCTTCGTTTTTCTCCTCTTGTGTCCTCTGCCGCTCTGGAATATTTCGCTAAGGAGTTGTTTGTCGGTCGGGGTCCACCGCATTTATTATGAATCCCCTGCCATCCATTCCTCCAATGCTTTTCAATTTGACACGGATGCGATATAAAATCGTAAAGTCGTTTTCGAAAGGTATAAGCCAGGAGGAAGCCGCCGACGTGAAAAGGTGTGGAGGCGGCAGCGACGGAAAAGTTTATGGCTTGAGAATGGAGGTTTTTCGCGAGAACTCTTTGTGGAATGTTTTCTTAGCTTCTGAGTTCTCTTGGTAAACCATGACGTTGTTTTTTCTATGGGACTAGAAAACCACTGTTCTTTCTAGTTTCCGGCGTTTTTTCTCGAAAAAAGACACAAAGTCAAAGGGGGAACAGCTATTCTGTTTACGTGGCCGAGTTTTGAACTTTGAAAAAATGTAAGCCGATTAAATAACCGTGAAAAGCTGATCGAGAAACAAGACAAAACAAAAAAGTGAGGTGAATCAATCGAATGTCGATCGTTTCGCGGCTGCCGCGGAGGTCAAAAAAGCACGGGTCTCGCAGCGATCGGACAAGTATACGGTATGCGCATTCAAAACGAGGGCGCGCGTTGCGGTTTTTCGGATGGCAGGCAGGGTTGGCTGGACGGGGAGAAAAAAAAAGATGATTTGGCCAAGAGGACGGAAGGACCGCAGAACGCGACGCCAAAATGATGACAATAGGTGACCGGATCAGGAGCTGTCACGCCTGTCACACAGATCAAAGGACGTTTACGACTGTTTTGTTGGTTTAGTCATCACACAAACACTCGTGTTCGTAGTTTGGCGTCGCGTTCTGCGGTCCATCGGGTCTCTCGACGGTCCGTCCATTCAGACAGACTCGTTGCGGCCACCATCCTCTTTTTCTCCTCCTTTTCTTGCCTCATCCTCCCCAACCGGCTATTTTTATGCAAGGAGCAAAGCGTTATGAACGAAAGTAAGTATGACCTTTTCCGTTTTCACAAAAAAAAGTTATTTTCATATTTTTGGCGCAAATTATCGATAGTTGCCTGGCTCACCCCTTTTTTTCTACATTTCTGCTATGAGCTAAAAAAAATCGCTGTGAGACCCTTTCCGCCCGAATTTTCTCAAGTTTTCCTTAGTCTTCGGATCCCTCGACCTCATTACATTCAAACCCGCCGGCCGCCGCCATAATAATGGGTACTTGTGCTTCGCGAGAATGAGTGTCAAAGAGTCATCGGTTAATCGAGTCCCCCCTTCTCGCAATTATGCACATTCCTCTTCTCATTCCAATTTTATGTGCACAGGGCAGCGGCACGTCCTCCTTTTCCTCATCCGAATAGCAAAACGTTTGCGCGACGATGCCTATATTATTCATGCGAAAATGTTGTAGAGCGTGAGTGGCGCCGCCCATCATCTTCATCTATCTCCAATTTTTCCGGTCAACTGTCTTTCCGCCTTGTCTTTCTGCGTATTTTGACACCTTTTGTGTGTGTGTTTGTATGCCACGCGAGGAAGAAAAAGCGGAAAAAGCGAGGAGAACAATGTGTGGTCAAGCGAAATGGTGCTTTGTGTCCGTACGGAGTGCCCGCGGCTCAACTCGTTTTTTTTCTTTTTAGTCCTCGAGCCGAGTTTGCAACATTTATGGATAAGCGCTGTAGTTTTTTCGATGAAAAATCACATTTCAATATCGAGAAGAAAACATCAAAATTATCGTAAAAACGCCAAATTTCGCAAACGAGGAAAAATGGGTGACGCGTTAAAATTTGAATTTATGACGAGGTTCAGTGCGTATCATGCCAATCGATTAACTTTGTCAGCTCGCTTCCATTCCGAACATGCATGTCAACCTCAATCTGCCAATCCAAGACGCGAAGGCGAAGAAGAATTTGTAATGATGAATTGAGCGGAACTCTATTTGAATAATCCGGGTGGCTTTTCGAATGCAAATCATTGACTCCCTCCCTCGCCCTCCACTCCCTCACTGACCATTGTGTTCTTTCTTCAGCCGGCGATTTTGATTCGCGCACTCTCCTCGCATAAGTGCAACTGGATTTGATTTCGATTGGATTTAGGGACTCGACTGCTTACTATTAGCCGCGGATTAAGCTCTCTGTTCTTTTGGTGTTCTTCGTCTCGTGTCATGTGACCCCAATGCGAGCCCTAAGTGCATCGCTTCCGTTTCATCACTGTTTTTTGCGACAACCGGAAATTCGAATATCCGTTTGTCAGACAGGAGGCCAAAGGGATTCGGGCTCTATATAATCGCGGGATAAAGTCGTTCATAACAAGTTAGCCATTTTTTGAACGGATTAGCACGCTTGTTAAATGAACGCTCACTTGGTGTCTGTACGTTATTTGACCAGTTGTTCTGTGCTAACACAACTATATTTTAGGCCAAGCGCCAAACCTCAGGACCTTGATTCAAGGCCCAAGAACTAGGTTTCGGTCTCTAGGCCCATAAAATCAAGATTTTAAGCCCAAAGCTCGAGACCTTAAGAGCCAGGCCACGATTTCTAGGTTCTATGCAGGCTCTAGGCTTTGTGCTGTAGACTTTAGACCCTATAAGCTCTAGTATCTCAAAAGAGCTGATTGAAGGAGAGGAAAAGAAAGGAGAAGAGAAAGTGCTCGTAAAATTGGCTCTTTCTTCCATACCCCTCCTCCCCCTTCATTCTTTCTTTCTTTCTCCCTTTCTCCCTTGCAAGTAGGTAAATTGACAGAACGCTGCCAGTAGTAGTTTCTCTTGGTTTTAGCTCAAGTTTTGCACGTATACATGTAATGAAGACCCCCATGCATTTATAAGAAAGAAGGAAATGTTTATGCCGACACTAGAAAAGTGTCTAATTCATTTATAATCCCTTCAGAGTCAGACTCCTCTGAGAAGAGAAGAACACATGGCCAATGAGAATGAGAAATGAGTGCTCGGGCGGGGGAGAAAAGGAGTAGAAGAAGAACGAGCCACTTGTTGAGAGATGACCTAACCTTGTGACGTCCATAGTATACAAAGATGCGGAAAGTGTGTGAAGTTGTTAAAATATGAAAGGGCACATCTGGAGCTTGTTGTCAGCTTGTACACTTTGGAGATCCGTACTTTCAATCTAGATTGCTGTTCCATTTATTTGGCCGTTGCCCGTAGAAAATACACTTTGATCTGAAATTGAGGCCAATTGTTCCCCATTGTCAGTTGTCAATACTTTCCGAGTTTCAAGCCAAATGGAAGACTTTTGGGCCTGTCGAATTTTAAAATCTCATGACTCATTCCTTGATTCGATCAGCTGATTCACGTGTGGTTCTCTCTCGGACGGCCTGGGAATCGAATAATATAATATCCAAAAGTCTTGTGTCCGTCGACTACATTCTCATGGACCCAACATTGGTCATTCTTGTCTCACTAGTCAATTTGAACTCTGGCCTAGCCGCCCTTAAAGTGCATACAGCTCCCCCTCTTTTTTTTCTTGTGCAAGCTTCACTTTGAAGTTTAAACCACTCAATCATCTGCCTAGCTTTGCTCCTTTTTCCCGCTCGTCAGAAGAATCAAGGAAATCGGAAATCAAATTGAGGAGGACCATTACAACAAAATAAATAGTAATGCCTCTGCCTGCCTCGGGGTCTTAGACACACACAGCCATCCCTGTTTTTTTGCGCTCGCCCATCCCTTCGTCTCTCTCCGCCTACGTCTCCGCTCTCTCGTTCTCTTACCTCGGCGGGTGTCTCTTCAAACGGTCACTCGAGGAACACATGTCTTTTTCTTCTTCTTCTTCTTCTTCTTTCTTTTCTCCTTTTCCTCTCAATCCCAAAATGGCTGCGGTCAGAGTGTGCTCACTTGACTACTTTCTCGAGCATTTTCCATTTCACCTGCCTCTCTTTGAAGTTTGTCGGATCGAAACCTGCTTGTACACACCCCCCATCAAATTGGATAATTGGTTTATACATGCCCGTTCGCTTTTCGCTTTACTTCACACACACAAACACTGTAAACATTCGCCATACTGGAGGATCCTTGTACACATGAACAGAAAGTGTACGATTCGCATTATTTTTTCCATTTTCCCTCACACACACACACACGTGTGCACACAAATAGACACACTGTGTGTTTGAGCATTGACACCCCTTCTCCATATACATTGCGCACCTTGTACAACTGTCACGTCCTCAAACTGTACTGGATTTTTTGCCGTCAACTTGTAAGCCCTGTATCTCGAGTACCAATAACTATTTTGAAAAGTGATCAACTGACAATTTGTAGGAAATCTTGTGCTGAACAACCTTGCAATTGGACATTTTATCCCTAAAATTGTCGTTTCTTAGTTATACGCCGTTTTCTAAGCGATATGTTTTGCGGCGTACCTTTAACACAAATCTACAGCAGGATTTTTTGAAAAAACGCTGCGTGTAGGTTTTAGTGCTCCATCCAATGGTCGAACCCTCCAAGACCAAAGAGGTCCTACTAGCGATACCTCCCGGATCCACTAGTTGCTACTAGCATTCTCTCTCTCTCTCTCGCTCTGCCGCTCTTCATCTCCCCACCGTTCACGCTTGTCAGAAACGTGTCCGTTGCCAATAAATCTCTTCTTCTCTCTTCTTTTTCTCTCCTCGAATAATTGTCCTTCCGGTGTCGCTCTCTCTCTCTCTTCCACTTGACGCATTTCACTTTTTTTTTGCCTTTTACTTACCGTGATGAAATTTCGGAACGAATCGGTTCTACTACTCAAGTGAGACTGTTGCCATTAAAGGACCAGTTTTTTTTCTGACTTGGGCACTTGTCACTTTGAATCGAAATCAAAAATGTTTAGAGTATTGTCTTCTTCATATTATTTGCAACTTTCAGGGGTAACATGCCGTCGTCATTCATCCGAAAACACGTGCGCGGTCTTCTGCGCACCAAGTTCGGTCCTTCAACGAGTTTGGACAATGAGAATCAGGTAAGACCGAACAAATGTCTCATTTTATTATTTTCCATTCTATCTTCTTCTTCCTCCAGTCGATTGATAGGGAGGTGGAAGAAGATAAATGAAGAGACAAATTGATGAATAGACCCTTCGGGAAGGGGCCGGCCGGCCGAGGACTAATGATAACAGAGTCGTTAAAGTCGGAGGAGAAATGAATTTGGTCACGAGAGAGAGAGAGAGAGAGAGAGAAGAAGAAGGAAGCGGGGGGATCAAAGGAAAGTTGTGATTGGGATGATTGAACTGCTGGCGGCTTGATCCTTTACAGTTGGATCGGCTAATTGAGAGAGTTGGGCCGGGAAACTTTTTGGCTTTCCATCGGCTTCGAAAATACTTCCAAAACTTTCTCAATTTCAGGACGACGAGCCAACAACTCCACGTGGCGACACGAACGCCGTCCTCCAGCACTTTCTCGGCGGAATCGACCTGCGACGTCACGAATTCCCGGAGGTTTATTTCGGAAAAACGGGCCTCGACCTGCCGGCGATCCAATTGGAAACCCTCGACGCGGACGTGTTCGCCTCGTACACGGGACCAGAAGGCGGACTGACGGAAGTGGGCGAGGTGCGCGGACATCAGATGGTCCGGATGGCGAACATCGACGACGAGATGTCGTTGTCGATCGACGGGACCACAGACGAGGAGGCCGAGGACGAGGAGGATCTGGACGCGCCCATCTCGATGAGTCTGAAGAAGAGCTCGCGACACTCGCTGCTCCTCGGCTCGTGCTCTTCGATCCTGGGACCGAATGGGGAGCACCACGACTTTAGTGCGGGCCGTCCGTCGGCGCACGACTACGATTGGAGCGCGTTCGACGAGCAGGGCGCCTATGGAATGAGCGTCTCGTTGTACGAGAAGAACCCGTTGAGCGGAGTGAATGCCGGCGAGCCGATCGCAGATGTATGGGGCGTCGTCGGGCGGAGCAACAACGGAATTCTGGCGCTGGCGGACGGAGTCAACTGGGGAGAAGGCGCGAGATTGGCGGCGAGGTGCGCGATCCGCGGAGCCATTGACCATCTGAACGCGCGGGTGATCAAGGACGGACTGGCGGACACGACGGAAGTTTTCCACGAGATGCTCGCCGCGTTCCACTCGGCGCACTCGCTGATCCTCCAGGAAGGAGGCATGCTGACCACTCTCTGCGTGGCCCTGGTCGCGCCGGTCAAACGTGGCAACGGATGGGCTCTGTGCGTCTGCAACGTCGGCGATTCTCTCTGCTTCGTCTACAATCGGCACTACGGAGTGCGTGAGGTGACCCTAGGAAGCCACGACATTGATCAGATGAGAGACATGCGGGACGCCGGCGGGGCACTCGGACCCGTCGACGGACGCAATCCGCAACTGCACAATCTCACGTGCTCGATGACGTTCGTCGAGGAGGGCGACGTCGTTTTCATCACTTCCGACGGAGTCTCCGACAATTTCGATCCGGTCGTCGGCAAGTTTTGTGTGATCAAGAAGAGCGAGCACGAGAACAAGGAGAACGCGCATCTGCCGCCCCGCGAAGATCGGACTCTGGATGTGTCGACGAGGGGCGGCGAGAAGAACTCGGAGTACGCGCGGAACCGCACGTGCGCCGCCTCGCTGCCGTGTGTGGATGCGGCGAAACGGCACGAGTTGATGTTGGTCCGGATGCGGGATGTGATTGCGAACGGTTTTGGGAACGAGGTGTCGACTCCACGGGGACCGGGGTCCGAGTACCAGTACCCGCCGGTCACCGCTTCCGTCCTCTGCCACAGACTCATTCATTTTGCCACCCAACTATCGACGTAAGTGAACAAACCTTCAACGCATCTTTAAAAAACTCAAAATTTCCTATCTTTCAGTGCCAAGCGCCGAGTTCTGGAGAACCCGGAGCTGTACAAACGGGAGAAGATGACCAAGGTCGAGCAGAGAGCCCGTCGGAAGATGGTCCGCGAGAAGATCGCCGACATGCCGGGCAAGCTGGACCACGCCTCCGTCGTCGCCTTCCACGTTTCGCGTCGTGGAGCCGATAATGAAGAGCCGTCGACTCCCCCGGGCGGACTGATACTCGCCGAACCCATCAACTCGTCCACCTCGATCAGCTCCTCCGAGGCCATGGACACGGAGCCGACGGTAACGGCGACAAAGATGGAGAACTCGACGTTCGCGCGCGTGGCTTCTGCGCAGTGCGTCGAGCATCTCGTGGAAGAGCCGAGGGCCGCGGAGCAAGTGGAACTTGTGCTCAAAGAGCCGGTGTCGCCGATGCGACACAAGCCCGAGCAGCTGATTCTCCACGACTTGGTCGACAAGCCGCGCAAGGAGAAGAACAATAACACGCCGATGGGCAACGGGAACGGAGTGGAGCATCGGCCAGTCAGTCCCTACGAGCAGTTGCCGGTGAGCTCGCGAGATGCCGGAAAGCGTCGGAAGAAGCACGGAAGGGGCTCGATGGGACGCCACACTCTGGGCGTCGATGTGCAATGGCTCAAGAAACTGGTGACCAAGAAGGAAGAGCAGAAGACCGTCGAGGGCATCAGGTATGGCCCCAGCAGTCGTCCCACTAGTTTTATCCTTTTTTCAGAGGCGACGTGAGCCTGAGCTCTGCGAACGCGGACCGCACGACACTTCGCCAACGCATCCGGAGCATGCTCGGCTCCAACCGCACACTGGCCAACACGGACCAACCGCCGACGGTCAAAATCTCAATGCGAGCAACTAATGTATAGGACCACTGAAATCTGTTTCTTTTTTTTTGATACTTCTTTCCCCGATGATCATATGTATTTACTTCTTCTCCTCTGATCTTTCCCTTTCTAAAAATTCACTGCGCAACTCTCGAATTCTCTTTGCCAAACCAAACGAATTCTTTCAATTATGAATGAGATTTCCGCTCTTTTTCTTTCTCCTCTTCTTCGCTGACCGACGAGTGAATTTATTGATAATTGACGTTTCTTGTACAAACTCTGCACTTTTTGGTAATATTTACCTGAATAAACGCATTTTTGAAGATTTTGCTACCGCGTTTTGAAGTTATCCGATCGAATCCTATTTTCGCAGGCTTCTTGGGCCTGGATAAGGGCATATTAGGCCCAAATTTCAGACCAATCGATTTGGCCAATTCGGGCTCATTTTCCTTATACTTTGATCTCATAAGCATCAGCTCTTTCTGACAGCTCTTCGCATTCCTGTCTGCTGTAACAAACTGATTGCCACCCACATGATTGCGTGCCGACCGATCGAGATGGGCGGATTCTTCAACTATTTCTATATTCCCTTTCCCCCGTTGTTACTTCATTGTTCTGGCTATTCATCTTTCTTATAAAGGTACAAGAGTTTCTAAAACTGGGCTCGCTGCGTGGTCTGTGCTGACGCTCGGACGCTTCTTTCTCATAACTGCTCGAAAGTTCACGATTCTCCACAAATTATTGCCTTGACGTAATGGGGTTTTTCTTACGTCAAAAAATCCAATTCAGCGATGTAAAAAAACGAAAAAAAAAACGGGAAACAAACATACGCTGAATAGCCCCATAATCTTTATAAAAAAATGAATATTTTTAAGCGTAGAACCTCGCGAACAATCATAATTGTTGCTGACTTTTCTGATGTTTTGCAAACTTGTCCTTCTTTGTTGTTTTCTCCGAGTCTCGCCGTCTAAAAAGTCATGCAAGCCGGCCTATCATCGCACGTGCGTCGTCAGTTAATGGTTTCGCTGCAGCGTCGATGTTTTAATTGTTTGGACTCGACCGAATCGGACGACCTACCTGATATGATCTTTCGTTATTCCTCTTCAGGAATTCGCACGTGGAGGAGATGGGGAAAACTTGAGGGCAGGAGACGATTCCGAATTGTTTTCAACGTTTTCCTCAACACTTTTTCTTTAATTTGTTTTTCTGCTCTTAAAACCTCGTCTCGGCGTACGCACTCACTTTTTGTGGTCAATAAAAGTTTATCACTCGTGAATGGCGTACGAAGACTGGCGATAAGGCCAAAAGATCCAAAAATTGTCTACAAGCGGGGAACACATTTTGTCAAAAAGTGGTCAAACCCGTGAGAATTCTGTCAAAAAGGTCTGTGCGAGAGGTGGTCCCGTAAAAAGTTCCCAGTGTTCGCCAACTTTCCACATTTCCGATTTTTGGTTTTGCCGCCGTTTGATCGTCACATTCTTCGCTCGCTACCAGAGATATCTCAACTCCGCCCACACACCTACTTTTATGACCTCTGGCTACTTTTCTTTTAAAAATAAAACATTTTATCGCCACCTCTTTTCTGTCATTGTCATTTTACAGAACCTCGTTCGAAATGAGGTCGGGTCTTCATTCGAATCAGTTAACAGTCATTTTGAGTGTTTTCCAGGTATCCGTTTACTTTTTTGTACCCCCCGAAACATTTGTGCCTTTCAGATAGCCTTCCTGGTGATATTCGCACTTTTCGGAAGGTATCACTCGAGTGCCCTTCCGAGTAAAACCGCAGACAATGGCGACGGAGCAAAGGCGAACGGACAGTATCCACTGTTCCAGGACACCCATGTCATGATATTCATCGGTTTCGGTTTCCTGATGACTTTCTTGAAACGCTACGGATTCTCGGCGGTTTCTATCAACATGCTCCTAGCGGTTTTCACAATTCAATGGGGTCTGATTGTGCGTGGAATCGCCACCTCTCATGATGGATTCCATTTTACCATTTCTCTGGAGCAACTGCTCACCGCCGATTTCGCCGCCGCCGTCGTGCTCATTTCGATGGGGGCAATGCTCGGGAAACTGTCGCCCACACAGTACGTCATAATGGCGTTCATCGAGACGCCCGTGGCTCTGATCGTCGAGCACGTCTGCGTGCACAACTTGCAAATCAACGACGTCGGCGGTTCGATCGTCGTGCACGTCTTCGGCGCGTACTTTGGAATCGCGTGCGCGAAGGGATTCGGGCGGAAGGAGCAGCGGAACCATCAGAACGAGGGATCCACCTACCACACTGACATTTTCGCCATGATCGGCGCGGTCTTCCTTTGGGTCTACTGGCCGTCTTTCAATGCCGTTATGGCTGCCACCGATGATGCGCGTCAAAGAGCCGTCGCGAACACTGTGCTCTCTCTCTGCGCGTGCACTATTACGACGTTCTTGGTCTCTCAGGCGGTCGACAAACACGTAAGATTATTTTAATTCAAAACTGTCACTAACATGTTTTTTTGTTTAGAGACGCTTCGAAATGGTGCATGTGGCCAACTCGACGCTGGCCGGAGGAGTCGCCATCGGAACCACCGCTAACGTCGTCTTGGAGCCAGCACATGCGATGATCATCGGATGTCTCGCCGGTCTAATTTCAGTGCTGGGCTACAAATACATTTCGCCAATGCTTTCGAGCAGGTTTGGAGTTCATGACACATGCGGAGTTCACAATCTCCATGGAATGCCCGGGGTCCTCGCAGCATTAGCGTCGGTCGCGTTTTTGTTCGTTTATGAAGAGTCTCAATACCCAGGACAGTGAGTTTCCTTAAAACTTCTCTACTTAACCGAAGTATGTTTAGGTATGACAAAATCTACCCGGGATTGTCGCGCGACGCAGATGGAAAGCGTGCTTTCGATGAGAAGAGCCAGGCGATGAATCAGCTGATGGCGATCGGACTCGTACTTCTCGCTTCTACAGTATCTGGATACATTACTGGACTTCTACTGAAAGTGAAAGTGTGGGATCAAGTTCGCGACGAAGAATACTATGCGGACGGGGATTATTTCGAGACACCGGGCGATTACGATTTCACTTCAAGAGTAAGCGGGACTGGTAACTGGGGCCTGCTGTCATTTTGATAATTTCAGATTGTGACATCGGTTGAGAAAATTGAAGTTGCTGAATACAACTCTCTTAGTCAGAAAGAAGTGTGAAGAACGAGTTATCGACGAGGCGTTTCAGTTAAATCAAAGCCATAAAGATGTTTAGAATTGTATTGAATCGGACGATTTTCTCTCTAATAAAAAACACTATAATTTCCGTTTTTGTCTCCAATTCGGTTCAGAATTCCAGCGGGATTAGAGCTAAAGGTTTTCTCCATATTCACTAAAAGAAATGTGTAAAAACAGCGAAGTTCCGTATTTTCTTCTCGACAAACAAAATTTTGCAGATAAATGTGATTTTTTCTGATTTTCCGGGGGAATTTGCACCTGAAAAGTGTACGATTTCTTGCTGGAAACGTTTTTTGTTGTCTGTAAATTAAATTTTTGATGTGAAATTACACTTTACCATTTTTTGAGCTCAAACGCTTCGAAATGCTCAAAAATTGCTCACAAATCCCCTTGAAAATCGGAGGTTTCTAGGCCATCGTCCCTCGGTTGGCGACAGAAAAAGCGAGAGAGTGTGCGAAACGAGGAGGTGCGCACAGCTGAAGTGAGTGTTACCGTAGTATTCGCGCCACGAGAGCCTCCGCATGGCCGACTTTAGGCCCAAATTTTAGTCTCCCATTTTACTTCTTCTTTAGATGCTTTTTCGCATTTTTTTCTAGGAAATTTGTCAAAAATTCATTAAAAAGTAATCTTAAAATAATTTACCTGTTGTACAACGCTTTCTTCGAGCATTCTCCCACTTTTCATACGTTTTCTCGTGATTTTTGTCCGAATTTTTTAGCGAAAACCTATTTTTCACATTTTGCAGGTAATCATGGTCGCTAAGCCGCACACCAAGTCCACCAAGAGAACTCTTCGCAAGAAGAAGGTGCATCTCAAGTTCAACGTTGAGTGCAAAAAAACCCAGTCGAGGACGGAATTCTCAGAATTGAGGATCTCGTAAGTTTTTTTGGCTTCCCGAAAAAGCCGAATCTAGTCGATAGAGCTCCGTCTCTATCGCAACGACCAGGCTTAGGGTATTTTTGGTCCCTAGTAAGTCCTGGTTGCTTTCAGGAGGCCTTCTTGAACGAGAAGATCAAGGTCAACGGAAAGACCGGACACTTGGCCGCCAACAACGTCAAGGTCGAGGTTGCCAAGACCAAGGTCTCGGTCATCTCTGAGGTCCCATTCTCCAAGAGGTTTGTTGTTCTTTTTGCTACCGACCTTCATTTCCGTGTTTTTCAGATACCTCAAGTACCTCACCAAGAAGTACCTGAAGAGAAACTCTCTCCGTGACTGGCTCCGTGTGGTTGCTGTCAACAAGAACACCTACGAGGTCAGATACTTCCACATCAACGACGGAGAGGACGCTGGAAGCGACCACGAGTAAACTCGGTCTTCGTTGTTGAAATAAATTGTTGTTTCTACATGCTTAGATCATCAGTTTATCAAAAAGAAGAAAAATAGAATTAATGATGAAAGATACGAGTAGTTAGATGATGAGCTTTCATGGTGAATTATGTCATCGAACCAGGCAATTACAGTATTCTCGTGAACTGGGGCCATTTGACAAAATTCCTCCATTGGGCGGTCTGGCCTGAATTCTTTTGCACAATTGTCGAACACTTTTGCATCACAAAATTCCATTTCATTGCAGCCTTTTATCTTCGGTGTAACAACTTCAAATGTTGAATTGATGTTTCTCAAGTAAAGAACCTGAAATTTCTGGATCGAGGATACAAATTTCGCGGGAAACTCACTCTGAAGTACGGCCTTGCATCGGTTTTGTTATGAAACAGTTCGACAAGGATATCCGAAGAGTAATCCGGCCATTCTCCGTGCCTCTCTGGCCCGCCCACAACATCTTCTAATCCAAGAACTGACAGAAGAGCGAATACTGTGTGATCATGCTGAAAATTGAGAATTTCTCTGGAACTTCTTGGCTCCCGAGTACCGTCGAATAGGCATAATACTTCAGATCCCGATGGTATTCGTCGCATTTTGCCGTGTTTTTCGCGCACAAAGCCTTCGTCCTCATTCTCGCCGCGATTTCGTTGATGAGCGAGCCGCCACGTGTCTTCAGAATCTCCTTGCGTACATCGATTCCGTTGACGACGGGCGGATCGTACAGTCCGGAAACGAACGCTTTCGCCGTTCTTTCGAGTGTTTCAAGATTATCGTAGAATTCGGGAGAGTACCACGATTGGTTTTGCACGATTTCCGGGAAATGGATTAGCTAGAGAAAAAAATTGACATTACAGTTTTGGGATTTCAAAAAAACTACCTGAATCATGACTGCGTCGTGGGCTTTCCACAAGTTATTGTAGGTGAAAGTCGAGTTGAATATTTCGGAAATATGGGCGGTCGTATTTAGATACTAAAAGTCAATATTTTAAATTTCAGCAAGAAAGTACGTACATTTTCAGACGTCACGTATTTCTGAAACTGCTCGCCTGTGTGAGCAATCGCTAAAAGCGCATCACGCCGTTTGCACGAGCAAAACGCGCTGGCCACACAATCGTCGCCCGGCGAGCCCAAACTGTGAACGGGCACTGGCATGAAGCCACGTGGCCAGCCGTCAATGTCCGGGAAGTCGATGCCTAAACACACACAAAAAAAAGTTTGCCGCCAGCAGGGGTCGAACCTGCGACCTTGGGCTTATTAGACCCACGCTCTAACCGACTGAGCTATGGCGGCACGTTTCGCAGCCGTACGGCAATATCTAGATAAGAAGAACGACTAACCTGGTCGTGCTGGCGTCGAGTACATGCCCAACATGTTCGAGATTGCCGAGTTTATCGTACGATTCACGTCGGTCGATCGGATATAAATCTAGGTTATTCGCATTGATATTGTGTGCTAAAATTTGCTCAGAAAAACCTGTTGAGAATCATAGAAACTGTGTAAAAATCCGGTTGCGATATAACGATCTCGCAATTTTTTGCCCAATATGAAATGTTGTTCCATTCCTTCCTAAAAATTCTGAAGTTTCGCGTGGATTTGAGTGTCAATACACCGAATCTTACGACAAAATGCAGAAAAGTTTGACATTACCGGTGTCAGCTGACCGTAACCGCCGCCGCCTTTGATCCATTTCGACGGATCAACCGGATCATTGTTCAAATGACCCTCTTGACTGCGATCTCCGTGTCGCCAGACCTTCAAATCGACAAAAAATTGAGCGTGGGCGGTTACCGTACACCTACCGTATGCACAAAAATGAGTTCGAGTTCGGCGGGCAGCGGCTCGGCTACTAGAAAGTCCGTGAAAATCGCCAAAACGCACACAAACAGTTGAGAGTGCATTCCGGCGAATTCACGGTGGGAAACTGTAAAAAATGGACAAGTTTTAACTTTTTTTTTCATTCTTCCTTTTTTCGCTCAAATGGCTACACGGTTTTAGAGTTTTGGAACGTGGAAAGAGGGTTACTGTAAGTTGGGAAACAAATCAGTGAAAAAATCGATAAAACCCGCAATCCAAACATGGTCGGCGATTATTTTGTGTAAAAACGAGAAGTGACGGACAGATTTATCCCTTCGAAAGTCGCGCACTTTCGTCATACACCGGGTTGTAAAAACTGGCGACCATCGCAACAAAAACCGTTTTTTTTTCTGGGTTTTGCATGTTTCCCCCTATTTTTCATGTTTTCCTGCTCATCCCTGACGCCAAATATTTGCTTTTTCCGTCAAGAAGGTGCGCGTTTTTCGAACTGTCGTAGGATAATGGGTGTTGTACGCAAACACGGAATCCAACGCGAAAGCGCAGAGTACAGAAGTCTGGAAGAGCGGCAAGCAGGCGATACGGTTTACGATTATGGAAATTGGTGTTTATGTGGTGTTTGGTTGAAAATATATTTATTTTCTATCCTGTTGACTAACTATTGTACCAGTTTTGGTTAGGGAATGAGATCGGAAGTGAGTTGACAGAACGCGGAAATCGGCAATCCGCCAATCGACAAATCCTGTTGGATTTTCTCAAAAACCGTCAATGGACAGTAGAATTTTCCGTGGCACTTTGAGATTTGGGGTGTGATATTCTGGAAAATCGACGTGGCAGCGGTACGGTAGATGATTCGGAAGTGGGCAGAATTATCGGAGGACCGGATGAAAAGTTCGACGAAAAGGGAAGATGCGTACGCGAGCCAGCCACCGATTTCAGAAGACGTCACATTCTGGAGGCCGAGTGCCGTGAGCAGAGAGAAAAGAGTCATGTCGTGCTGGAAAATGAGGGCATTTGAGAAAATATTTAAAGTTATTTAAAAGTACCGAAGAGTAGGCGTAGTACTTGAACTCCGAACCCGTTCTATTCAACTTCTCGATCATTCTTCCGAAAATCTCCGAAACCAACGGTCCGGATCGGATTTTTGAAATCTCCCGCGCAATTCCAGACGTGTACAACCCCGAAGTGAATCGATTTATCCGGGTGTTCAGGTGCTCCAGCTCATCCAGAAGTTCGTCAGAATACCAGGGGTTGGAGGCGTTCAGGAGGAGCGGAAGGTGCCGTTTTTCGCATCGGAGAGTGTCGGGAATGCGCCAGAAGTTGTCGACGGTGATCGAGGGCTCGCCGGTGAGTCGGGAGAGTTTCGAGAAGAGGGAATGGACCTGCAAAGTTGGGAACTGGAATTTCGCTCAACACTGCTTAGTATGCGATCGGATGCGACCCTTTTGACTAAAAAGCCCTGGTCCTAGTGCTCACCTCCGAGTTCTCTGCCACATCCTTGAACTCCTCGAGACCTTTTGCGATCCGTTGCAGCACATCCCTTCGTCGGCAGTTACAAATGACGTTGTTCACACAATCGGCCGCATAATCACTCGGAACCGTGATCGGTAGCACCTTCTCGTCGGGGTACATTCCCAGAAAGTTGGCCTTTGCAGAGAGAATCGTTCGATTCCTGTTCGTCGATCGGAACTTTACCGAGTTCGGATCGAACTGTCGGGGCAGGAAGTGAGAGTATCTTCTGCGGATCGCCTTTCCCAGTTCTATTTGCTGCTTGACTCCTTCCTGAACAACTGGGAACGTCTTTTGCATGATAACTTTAATGCCGCGTCCAATGTCTCGGAAAAACCGTAAAAACCGCAGGTTTTTCTGTCCAAAGTCGGCCGAAATTTGCGTGAAAAACGGCGGTGCGCACAGCTCAATGAGTGTAACCGTACCCCTAAAACTACGGTATTTTTTGAAAATTTGTTAATTTCTTGAGGTTATTTGAAAATACTCAAATTTCTTGCGCAAATTTTCAAAAAATACCGTAGTTTTAGGGGTACGGTTACACTCATTGAGCTGTGCGCATCCCCGTTTTTCACGCAAATTTCGGCCGACTTTGGACAGAAAAACCTGCGGTTTTTACGGTTTTTCCGAGACATTGGACGCGGCATAACGTGCTCACATAGGTCAATTGTCCGATTCCGGTTCCAATGTGATTCCAGTCGCTTTCGGTGATTTTATCGTTTCGGAAAGGGTACTGAGGCGCACGATCGCCATGTCTCCAGAGCTAAAAGTTCACAAAATAGAACGGTACTCTCTTTTTGTTTAAAGTAAGTACCGCTGTCACAAAAATGAGCTCAAAAGTGTCCGCAAGTGTTCCACAAGTGAAAATGGGGAATAACCAAAGGATCCGCATGTTTCCCTACACCGTTCCCCTCGATCCTTTTATATCCGCCGCGACGTCATCAGAATCGGTAGCCAATTGAACTTTTCCCACATCGATCACTTCGCCCGCTCTGTTTGTGACGTTCCACTAATCTCTCGTGTTTTGTGTAGGTGATTGGTTATTGAAAATTACATGTTTTTATTTTAAAAGTTCAATAAATACTGTCCACATTTTTGTTCCTCTTTTTTAATCCTTATTCCAGCGATTTTCGGCTGAAAATCCCTGAAACTTCGAGATAGCAATGCAAGTGCGCTCCATCGCACTTTCTTGGAACAAATTCGAATTTTGTTTTTTCTTAGATCTGTTAATCAGAGAAAAAATTGCTAATTCTTGCAGATTTTCAGCAATTTTTCAACGTTTTACAGGTAAAATGCCGAATTCCGATAACGATGAAGCAGCCGACGAGCATTTGCCAAAAAACTATCAAGATTTTCCGGACGGCAGCTTGTTGCGCGTGATATTTCATAATTTTTTGTAAGTTTCAAGTGTAAAACGGGCTAAATTTGCATTTCAGAACCTACGAGCACACTTCGTTCGTGCCGACCGCCAGTCTGAACATGATTCTCGGCCACAACGGCAGCGGCAAGTCGTCGATCATCTGCGGAATCTGTCTGGCGTGCGGCGGAAGCCCCAAGTCGCTGGGCAGATCGGAGAAGATTCAGGAGTACGTGCGTCACGGATGCCAGGAGGGATACGTCGAGATTGCCATGTAAAACTGCGAAATTCTTGAAAAATCTGCGATTTTTTCTGATTTTAGTGCCGACCAGAAAGAAGGACCTCAAACTGTCCGTCTAACAATTCGTGCGGGAAAGGCTCCGGAATATCGGCTCAATAATCAGGTTACGACCCAGGCGGAGTTGAGTAATCTCAGAAAAACACTATAACATTCAAGTAAGTCTAAAAAAACACGGTCTCCAGAGCTGACAATATGGGCGTGGCCTCTGCCAAGTGGCGTTTTTCCTGGCGCTGTAAGCTGTGGAGACCGTGGAAAACAGAGAAGTATTCAATATCAACAATTCAGATCGACAATCCATGCGCGTTTCTGGCTCAGGATAAAGTGAAGAGTTTCTCGGAGCAATCGGCGATCGAATTGCTGCGAAATACGGAGAAGGCGGCGTCGGAGGACCTTTCCGTGGAGCACGAGGCGCTCATGGAGCAACGGCATGATTCGACGACCATCGAGGACAAGTGCGCGACTTCCGAAAAGGCGGTGAAGAATCTGGAGAACGAGATTCATAAACTGGAGCCGTTTGTGGAGAACTACCGAAAAAAGTTGGCGCTGCAGACGAAATTGCGACTTTTGGAGAAGAAAATGAAGATTCTGGAGTTTGAGAAAGCGGAAAAAGAGTTCGGAGTGGAGTGCGAGAACGCGAGGGCCGCCACGCAAGAATACGATCAGGTCAAGGCGGACATCGACGAGTGCGCACGGAAAAACCAATGGATTCCAGATGCTCATCGAGGAGAAGACGACCGTCGTTCGCACATTGGTTAGACTACTGAAAACATTTTTAGATTTGTCGAAAATTCATCGCTGCTAAAACCTCTTTTTTTCAGCGTCAAAGCGCCGAAGAACTGATGAAGAGAATGGATGACACAGTGGACAAGAGATCGATGGAAATCCGAATGGAAAGTGCGATTGAGAAGATGGAATCGATCAAAAAAGCTTTCAAACGACACGACCGCGACATGGCGAAGGCACAAGAGACATTGGAGGCGACGCAGGAAAAACATCGACAGGCACTGGAGGATATGGAAGGATTCGAGGAGTGGAACGAGAAGTTCAAACTGACGGAGGCGCGTCTCAACAATATAGAGGCGGACTTCCGCAGGAAGCAGGACAAGATCCGCGAAGAGTCTTATCAGCACGAGGCCAGAGTCAGAAGTACTCGAGTTATTGAATATTGATAGTAATAAAGTGCACTTTCAGAGGAGAGAGAAGCGATTTCCGATGCGAACAGCATCCTTCGCGACCGTATTCGCGTACTTCAGGGTCTCGACGGAAATGCGTATAAAGCGTATGAGTATTACATGAAGAACAGGCCACAGTTCGACGCGGACATCTATGTTCCGATTATTGATGTGAGAGATCTTCCAGATTTACAGTTTTCGACAGTAACCGATAAGCTCCGCCTCTTTGGGCAGTCGTTCGAAAAAATGTCAAATTTTTACGATTTTTTATTCGATTCCGATTGGAGACAGGTTACATTCGACAACTGGGAGGACCGCGCAAAAAGGAACTGTATCTCCAACCTCTACCCCGTTTCAGATCACCCTAAAGACCCCGACCGCTGCAAAAATCCTGGAGAACAGTGTCGGAATGCGTGATCGGACAATGTTCGTGTGCCAGACGAAGGCCGACGAGCAGCGAATGCACGCGAACAACGGAATCAACACGACGGTCTTGCCGCCCGAAAAAGTCCACCGCGAGGACATAGAAGCCCGCTCGCCGCCCGCGATGAAAAGGATCGGATTCGAGATGCTCGCCGCCGAATGCTTCGACGCGCCCGACCCTCTCAAGCAGTTTCTGATCAACGTGTCCGGGCTCGGCCGCATTCTCGTTGGAAATCAACAAGTGGACAGGAATATGGAGGCCGTCTCCAGGGCCGTTGAGAACACACCCTACGGAGTGTTTTTGACGCCCACCATGAGGGTAACAACTTTCGACATTTACGGGAAACTCAAATTTAGATTTGTTTATGCAATTTCCCAGAAAACAAGTTTTACGACAGCCAGGCCCCTTTTTTCCACTTCCCACCGTTTTTATTTCAGTGCCAAGTGTCAAAGTCCAAGTATTCGGGACAATCGTCGCACATGCAAACGCTGCTCCGCGACGCGTACACGTTCCGCGATCCGTGCTACCGAAAAGCGCCGCAAGCAAAACGGAACGTTCAGCAACAGCAGCAGGCGATGGAGCAATTGCGACAGGCGGAGCAGATGATGCAGCAGAAACAGGCACAGCTCCGCGAGAAGATACAGGCGGTGCAGAGGGAGAGGGACGTCGTCCGGAACGAGTGCTCCGAGTGGAGATCTAAACGGCATCTCGTGGGCACGTGGCAGGCGGACGTGAAGCTCGCCGAGGAAAATTTGAAACGGCTCGAGGAGCAGAACATCGACGTGGACGCGGCGGAGCAGGAATTCGAGGAGACGAGGGCGAATGCCATTGAGCAGACGCTGGACATGTTCCGGAAAGCTGTCAAATGGCAGGTCAGCACAGAAATTGGAAAAAAAACTCTGAAGGCTTCTTTGGATTGGCTTGAGGTTTCTTGGGACCAATTTTCAGACAGATCGGACTATCCGTATATGTGGATCAGAGGCCGAGAATATCGCAATTTTAGCAAAACCCCGGCATATATCTCAGCTGCCAGTAGAGATATCAAAAGGTAGTCTGAGCGATATAGGAGTGCACTTCTATTACGGTATTTACGGTATACTGGTTTGGAGACGAGGAGTTTTGTAAAAATTGCGACCTTTTCGGCTGTCTCTGATCCACATATCTCGGGACCAGATCCCAATACATCTCGATCTAAGTTTAAGAAGCCTGGAATAGTGTAACCTCGGCAGACCATCATACAAATAATAACTTCAGAAAGCCTACTTGGAAAATTACGAGGAGGTTGGACGTCACACGTTCATCGAAATGATCTGCAAGAACAAGGTGAGAATGATGAAACTGGAGGAGGAGGACCTGCGAAAGAAGCTCAACGAACTGAGCCACACGAAGCGAGAGGCGGAGGCGAACGTGAAAAGCGCGCTGAACAGAAAGAGAGCGGCGGCGGAGGCCATGTCGAAGACGTGCCAGCTGAAACATCTGAAGGAGAAGGACATGGACGCGGCGGAGAAGCGAATCTTCGAGAAGCTGAGCAAACTGTTCGAGGAGGGAGGCGTTCCTGAAAATCTGGACGCGCTGGAGCTCGAGATCTCTTCGGAACAGGCACGTCTCCGACTGGCCGAGGATCAGGGAGAGGACGGCGGAATCGAGCACGAGCATCAGATGGAAAAGTTAAAGTTGGACTTCGTCGAGGAGCAATCGCGCCATGAAAAACTCGTGGAGAACCGTCGAGTTCTGCATGAGGAACTCGGAACGAACATTGAGAATTGGAGGGAGAAGGTGGAGGAGATGATCGATCACATCAACGAGAACTACGTCAAATACTTTGGCGAGCTCGGATGTCGCGGAGAAGTCGGACTGGAGACGCCCGAGAATCTGGTGAGCAATGAGGGGAGGCATCAGAAATAATAAGTCATTTTCAGTTAGACATTGCCAAGTACGGCATCATGATTAGTGTTTCGTTCCGAGCTGGAGAGAAAATGAAGAGACTCGATAATAAGGTTCGTTTTTCTCGATTTCTCCCACAAAATGGTCATTTTCAGGTGCAATCGGGCGGAGAACGCAGTGTCGCCACTATGCTCTACCTGCTCGCCCTCCAACAACTGTGCCCGGTGCCTTTCCGATGCATCGACGAGATCAATCAGGGAATGGATCCGACGAACGAGCGAAAAGTGTTCGATATTATGGTCGGACTGTGGAACGGCAGTCAGGGAGCACTCACGAAGACCCAGTACTTCTTGTGAGATATCTTTTTTTTAGATTATCAATGAATTCTGCGTGTTTAGGCTGTCTCCGAAGCTTCTTCACGGTCTGGATATGCGCGAGAACGTGAATGTGGTCATGGTGAACAGTACGCTCACGACTTCTCACGGAGAAGTACGGAAAATGCTATTTTTCTAGCACTTTTTTCTCAAAGCCACTTTTTACAGATCTACGACACCGAATCGAAGCTCGCGGCGTCGCTGTCCCGTCTTCAAACCCGCGCCTAATTTGCCTTAATTTTTGTCATTTTTTGCCGGTCTCCTTTTTGTTCGGGATAATAACTGACGAATCTCACAATTTTATCTAACGTAAATAAAAGGCAAGATTTCAATGACAAACTACGAGTAGAACTAGGGGGATTAGGAGAATGGCTAATGAGCCGGAAATGTTACAAAGCGGTTCCTGGCAGGTGGTTAGGCACTCGGAAGAGTCGTGGCACGCATAATTGGTGACCAGGTCGAAATCGGAGCGCAGCAAAGTGGATTGACACCCACGGAGCACCAGTTTTTTCGTGGCATCGCCTAAAATTCGGAATTTGGAAAAAATTTATCAATTTCATCGGTTTTGGGTCCTTTTAACTTGAGTATTGTCTGTTTATGAGATTGCCTGTTTCACAAGCGATTTGAATCGAAAAGCTATGAAAACTTGAGAAATTACGAGAAATCGGATTAAAAATCGATCTGTTTTTGAAAAATATCTCGAGAACCGATTCAAATTTCGTAAAGCAGCTTAAAATCACGGACAATACGGGAAAAATAGTGAAAATGGCTCACCTTCAGAAATAAATCGTACACACGTGTCATTGGCGCCCTGACAAACTTCTTTGGGGACCGCCCGGAAGAGAACGTTCTCGCCGCCGTCGGCACAATATTCGCTTGAGGGCGGAATGTTGAATCTGAACCTTTTTTGTGTTTAAATGAGAAAACATATGGAAAAGTTTAGTACCTGGCAAAAAGAGCGGTTTTTAGCGCATTCTGCTCCTGTTTCGAAATGTCGCCGGTGCTGAGGCGGTTAATGCAATGATAGCACTGTAGGTGTTGAGTCGAAACTGCCGAGAATGATGATAGAAAACAGGTGAAAAGTAGGAGTAATCGCATAATATTATCGGATGAGCATGCGCGCGAGGATTAGTCACGCATGCGATTACGACGATTACGTTGCGTGGGCTCGGCGAGCAAAAGCGGGAAAGGGGGGAGGGGAGGGCTCAGTTTTTGGTTGTCAAGACGACGAACGCAAGTGTTTCAACGCGGAAAAGATGGAGAGAAAGGGGGGAGTGAAAGAAGGCGGAGGTGTGGCGAGAAAGGGTGTGTAGATGGGGGAAGGAGCGCGAATTTTCAGAGCCGGAATCGAGGATGTGGGAAAGAATTGTTAATGGTCCGCAAAAAGGCTATGTCTGAAAGAGCCAATGATTCTTCTGATGGTAACTGTGAATGTGAATGAAAAACGACCAATTGTTTTAAGGAACATATCTCGAGAAACGATGATCATTCTGAAATGTGGTAAACTGAAAACTTCTTAGCTATTTTGTGTTGTCTGACTATGTAATTGAGCGTTTTTTTTTAAATCAAAACTCTTCATTTTTTTTAGGGGTCCATGCCAATTTTTAAAAATTGCCGCGTACCCGTGACCGTCAAGGGTTCATGCCAATTTTTAAAAATTGCCGCGTACCCGTGACCGTCAAGGGTTCATGCCAATTTTTAAAAATTGCCGCGTACCCGTGACCGTCAAGGGTTCATGCCAATTTTTAAAAATTGCCGCGTACCCGTGACCGTCAAGGGTTCATGCCAATTTTTTTTCTGCGTGCAAATGTAGGGCCAAAATGTGGATTTTTCATTGGCCTGTGGTTTTCAAAGAGGTTTTTGTGCACGCTTTCCGTGACATTTTCACGTATGAAGTCACCCAGTCGTGGAATACACAGGAAAAACGGGAACAGCGAAGAATCACTGAAGGATTAGACACGCTAACCACTGGGCGTGGAACGGTGTTGCCACACTCTGGAAATAGACTGAATTGTTTGAAAGATCTGTGAAAATGTTTGAGAGCCAAAAAAGACTGTAAAAACTCACCGAGGAGCCGCGGAGTTCTGGGACCGTCCTCCGTGAACTTTTGTCCACAAACAGCGCACGTCGGGTCCGGAATCTGAGCGATTGTCTGCTTCAGAGAGAGGCACTTGGACTTGGCCGTCATGACGGAGTAATAAGCCTGTATTGATCCCCAGTTGAGGGAGAACGCGAGGTTGTCGTAGCGCTCCGCTTCAAAGCTCAAGCGCACCATATCCTCAGTCAGTTCATCAATAAGCTGGAGCTTTCCGGACTTTATCGCTTTGTTCTGGACTTTGACGAGCTCGTGTTCATGCTTCTTCTCGATTTCGGCCATATTCTTTTCAAACTTGTCGTGCTCCTCCTGTCTCTGGTCTTTCACCTTCTTCACTTGCGATTCGAGCATCTTGATCCGAGCCTTCAGCGCTTTTTCAGAGTCTGGTTTAGTGGCGGAAGAAGACGAGAACGGAATAAACTTTTTGAGGGACGACATGGTGGGACAGAAGCAGAAGCGGAATGATCGACGGAGAAGAGAGCGGATGTGAACGGGATGAATGATGCAATGAATCACCGCCGGAAGCACCGCCCATTTTCGAATGTTTTGTTTGTTTTTATGTTAGCTGATTATGAAACGATTAGTCATCTTTGAGAAACGAAAAGGTATTGTTTCGTACGGATTTATTGAGTTGAATTTAGAATTATGTCAAGAAAACACACAAAAAGGAAATCATGAACAATTAGAAGTACCTCTTTCTCTTTTCCGCCGGACCATCGTCTCCACAAGCCTCTCTCTTTCCGTTCTCATTCGTCCACTCGGCCATGCAGTTGCCGGTTCTCTTCGGCTTCTCCGACTCCTCCTCATCTTCGCCAGACGTCTGCTGTCCACCACAAAGTCTTCTGTAGCCGTGCAGCAGATGCTCGTAGTAGCGAACGGCCGAATTCGTCGTCACATCCGTCATTCCGCTCTCTCCGTCGCTGCTTTCGTCCGATGATTCAGTCTCAGCCGTAGATGGAGCCTTATAGTCTGGGATCCTCTTCGTCGGCGCCGCACGATGTCTCACTGGGGCCACAGCTTCCTCCTCGTCCTCTTCTTCATCTTCCTCATCTTCTTCCTCATCTTCTTCGTCACTCGATTCAGCAGCAGACGGTCCCTTGTAGTCTGGGATTCTCTTCGTCGGCGCCGCACGATGTCTCACTGGGGCCACAGCTTCCTCCTCGTCCTCTTCTTCATCTTCCTCATCTTCTTCCTCATCTTCTTCGTCATCTTCTTCGTCACTCGATTCAGCAGCAGACGGTCCCTTGTAGTCTGGGATCCTCTTCGTCGGCGCCGCACGATGTCTCACTGGGGCCACAGCTTCCTCCTCGTCCTCTTCTTCATCTTCCTCATCTTCTTCCTCATCTTCTTCGTCACTCGATTCAGCACCAGACGGTCCCTTGTAGTTTGGGATTCTCTTGGACGGTGCGTGTTGTCTGACGGGCATCGTGCATCGTTCCTCGTCCTCTTCGTAATCACTATCTTCGGCAGCTTCACTCGACTCCTCCGACATGTAGTCGGTTTCATACAGCGACTCCGGCTTATCTCTTCTGTGCAGCTCGTCCAGCATGTCGTCGAATTGCCACTCCGTCGGGATCGGAGTTGAAGTCGCGTTCATGTAGAAATCCATAATTGAACAGGTTAGGACGTTCTGAAAGAATAGTTTGATTATTTAACAAGAATCGATTGAAAGAGGGAGAAGAGAACGGAAAGAAAGACGGGAAGATCGGACGGAATGGAATGGATGGATGCGTGCTTGCTTCCGAGGTATTTATAGTCGTGGCGATGTTCCAACAAAAGGGCGGAGTCAAGAGAGTTCTAACAGGGGACCGTTGAAGACGGACGTATACCCTGTCCCTTCTTTCAGTAAGAGGGGGAGGTGGAGTTAGAGGGAGACAATACTGACATTTATGGCCGTCTTTGAGTGTCCCAGCTGTGTGAGGTCACGAATGTTCACCTCCACGGGGCCGGAATCGAGAATATGGGAAAGTAGTGTTCATGGTCCGCAAAAAGGCTAAGAAGGAGCCAGTGATTCTGATGGAAACTGTGAATGTGAATGAAAAACGACCAATTGTTTTAAGGAACATATCTCGAGAAACGATGATCATTCTGAAATGTGGTAAACTGAAAACTTTTTGGCTATTTTGTGTTGTCTAGCTATGTAATTGAGCGTTTTTTTAATCAAAACTTTTATTTTTTGAGTAAGGCGCCAATTTCAGAACGGTATGAGGACGCCAAGGTTCCAGCAAGCTGACTGCAAAGTTCATCTCCCTTAATGACGGATGTGACGACGAATTCGGCCGTTCGCTACTACGAGCATCTGCTGCACGGCTACAGAAGACTTTGTGGTGGACAGCAGACGTCTGGCGAAGATGAGGAGGAGTCGGAGAAGCCGAAGAGAACCGGCAACTGCATGGCCGAGTGGACGAATGAGAACGGAAAGAGAGAGGCTTGTGGAGACGATGGTCCGGCGGAAAAGAGAAAGAGGTACTTCTAATTGTTCATGATTTCCTTTTTGTGTGTTTTCTTGACATAATTCTAAATTCAACTCAATAAATCCGTACGAAACAATACCTTTTCGTTTCTCAAAGATGACTAATCGTTTCATAATCAGCTAACATAAAAACAAACAAAACATTCGAAAATGGGCGGTGCTTCCGGCGGTGATTCATTGCATCATTCATCCCGTTCACATCCGCTCTCTTCTCCGTCGATCATTCCGCTTCTGCTTCTGTCCCACCATGTCGTCCCTCAAAAAGTTTATTCCGTTCTCGTCTTCTTCCGCCACTAAACCAGACTCTGAAAAAGCGCTGAAGGCTCGGATCAAGATGCTCGAATCGCAAGTGAAGAAGGTGAAAGACCAGAGACAGGAGGAGCACGACAAGTTTGAAAAGAATATGGCCGAAATCGAGAAGAAGCATGAACACGAGCTCGTCAAAGTCCAGAACAAAGCGATAAAGTCCGGAAAGCTCCAGCTTATTGATGAACTGACTGAGGATATGGTGCGCTTGAGCTTTGAAGCGGAGCGCTACGACAACCTCGCGTTCTCCCTCAACTGGGGATCAATACAGGCTTATTACTCCGTCATGACGGCCAAGTCCAAGTGCCTCTCTCTGAAGCAGACAATCGCTCAGATTCCGCTTCCGACGTGCGCTGTTTGTGGACAAAAGTTCACGGAGGACGGTCCCAGAACTCCGAGGCTCCTCGGTGAGTTTTCACAGTCTTTTTTGGCTTTCAAGCATTTTCACAGATCTTTCAAACAATTCAGTCTATTTCCAGAGTGTGGCAACACCGTCTGCGAGTCTTGTCTCGTCGCCCGCTGGGAGCACAGCCACTCCTGTCCCCAGTGCAACGGACCCAGCGGAGTGGACAATCCGGCCGATCTGAAGAAGAACTACGTGCTGGTCGGCATGCTCCGCGAGTAGATTAACTATCATTCAGACAATTTCCTCATCTTTTCTCTCTGTCCTTTCTCTCTTTCTACTTCTCTTTCTACTTCTCTTTCTTCTTCTCTTTCTTCTTCTCTTTCTTCTTCTCTTTCTTCTTCTCTTTCTTCTTCTCTTTCTTCTTCTCTTTCTTCTTCTCTTTCTTCTTCTCTTGATCTTCTCCCTATCCTTTCTGTCAAATAAAGTTTCATAAGAAAAAGAAGAATAACAGTGTGATCTGACTCACTCCCGCCGAGAAGAATGGTCGAAGGATACCACAAGTAATGGAGAGAAGCACGAGAAATTCCACGACTGGGTGACTTCATACGTGAAAATGTCACGGAAAGCGTGCACAAAAACCTCTTTGAAAACCACAGGCCAATGAAAAATCCACATTTTGGCCCTACATTTGCACGCGGAAATTTTTTTAAATTGGCATGAACCCTAAAAAAAAATGAAGAGTTTTGATTAAGAAAAACGCTTAATTCAGACAACACAAAATAGCTAAAAAGTTTTCAGTTTACCACATTTCAGAATGATCATCGTTTCTCGAGATATATGTTCCTTAAAACAATTGGTCGTTTTTCATTCACATTCACAGTTACGATCAGAAGAATCATTGGCTCTTTCAAAGATAGCCTTTTTGCGGACCATTAACAATTCTTTCCCACATCCTCGATTCCGGCTCTGAAAATTCGCGCTCCTTCCCCCATCTACACACCCTTCCTCGCCACACCTCCGCCTTCTTTCACTCCCCCTTTCTCTCCATCTTTTCCGCGTTGAAACACTTGCGTTCGTCGTCTTGACAACCAAAAACTGAGCCCTCCGCTCCCCCCTTTCCCGCTTTTGCTCGCCGAGCTCACGCAACGTAATCGTCGTAATCGCATGCGTGACTAATCCTCGCGCGCATGCTCATCCGATAATATTATGCGATTACTCCTACTTTTCACCTGTTTTCTATCATCATTCTCGGCAGTTTCGACTCAACACCTACAGTGCTATCATTGCATTAACCGCCTCAGCACCGGCGACATTTCGAAACAGGAGCAGAATGCGCTAAAAACCGCTCTTTTTGCCAGGCACTAAACTTTTCCATATTTTTTCTCATTTAAACACAAAAAAGGTTCAGATTCAACATTCCGCCCTCAAGCGAATATTGTGCCGACGGCGGCGAGAACGTTCTCTTTCGGGCGGTCCCCAAAGAAGTTTGTCAGGGCGTCAATGACACGTGTGTACGATTTATTTCTGAAGGTGAGCTATTTTCACTATTTTTCCCGTATTGTCCGTGATCTTAAGCCGCTTTACGAAATTTGAATAGGTTCTCGAGATATTTTTCAAAAACAGATCGATTTTTAATCCGATTTCTCGTAATTTCTCAAGTTTTCATAGCTTTTCGATTCAAATCGCTTGTGAAAAATGCAATCTCATAAACAGACAATACTCAAGTTAAAAGGACCCAAAACCGCTGAAATTGATAAATTTTTTCCAAATTCCGAATTTTAGGCGATGCCACGAAAAAACTGGTGCTCCGTGGGTGTCAATCCACTTTGCTGCGCTCCGATTTCGACCTGGTCACCAATTATGCGTGCCACGACTCTTCCGAGTGCCTAACCACCTGCCAGGAACCGCTTTGCAACATTTCCGGCTCATTAGCCATTCTCCTAATCCCCCTAGTTCTACTCGTAGTTTGTCATTGAAATCTTGCCTTTTATTAACGTTAGATAAAATTGTGAGATTTGTCAGTTATTATCCCGAACAAAAAGGAGACCGGCAAAAAATGGCAAAAATTAAGGCAAATTAGGCGCGGGTTTGAAGACGGGACAGCGACGCCGCGAGCTTCGATTCGGTGTCGTAGATCTGTAAAAAGTGACTTTGAGAAAAAAGTGCTAGAAAAATAGCATTTTGCGTACTTCTCCGTGAGAAGTCGTGAGCGTACTGTTCACCATGACCACATTCACGTTCTCGCGCATATCCAGACCGTGAAGAAGCTTCGGAGACAGCCTAAACACGCAGAATTCATCGATAACCTAAAAAAAGAGATCTCACAAGAAGTACTGGGTCTTCGTGAGTGCTCCCTGACTGCCATTCCACAGTCCGACCATAATATCGAACACTTTTCGCTCGTTCGTCGGATCCATTCCCTGATTGATCTCGTCGATGCATCGGAAAGGCACCGGGCACAGTTGTTGGAGGGCGAGCAGGTAGAGCATAGTGGCGACACTGCGTTCTCCGCCCGATTGCACCTGAAAAATGGCAATATTTTTTTATTTATTTATTTATTTACGTTTATTAACGTGGAGAAGGAGAAAAAAAGAGGGGGAGGAGATGTGGGGGAGTTGGGGGGAATAAATGGGGGGAATAAATGGGGAATCTTCAGCTACTTGCCCGCGTAAAAGGAAAGAGATGATCATTTAACAGATGCCTGTGCCAGATTCATCTTTGATAAGACTCGGTGTGTAAAAAAGTTGTGTCTTAGCTTCGATTTTGGAGTCTTCCATCGGTAAACGTGACTCCGTCTAGTCCGTGTAGTGTTTAAGCGTAGGAAAAAGTCATCAGGATTGATGTCGACTTTGTTAGCTAACAATTTGATTAAAAACTTCTTATCTAAATGTGATCGGCGAGTCTCTAGTGATTCGAGGTTAAATTGACGGCGACGTTCGCTGGCGTTTATGTAGTTTGGCGAATCTCGAGGTACGAAAGCTCCTATTTTCCGTAACCAAAGCTTACGAGAGAAGTTACTCTGAACCTGTTCTATTGCTCTTATCGTAGCTTTTTTAGAAGGACATGTGACAATAGTGCCGTATTCAAGTATGGGCCGTACGAATGTTTTGAATAAAAGGGTCATCAGGCGTGTGTTTGGGGAGTAAAAAAACTTGAAAAGGTTCGCTGTCATTATGTTTGCTTTTTGAATGGTCTTCTTCCAGTGGTCCGCGAAATCTAGATTTGAAGAGATCAGAAATCCTAGGTCTCTGCATATTGATTCTCTTTTTATCTCAGCTGTCACGGTCTCCAGAACTGACAATATGGGCGGAGTCGCGGGACTGGTGACGCGCTTTTTGAATGGTTGGCGCGTTTTTCGCCTTTGCTGGCGCAATATGCGATCCGTGATTTTTCTCGCCGCATTTTCGTTTTTCTTATTGTAAAACTCGATTTTTCTGAGAATAAATAATCTGTTTTGTTTTCAGTTCATTTTCTCTTGCAAAAAGGCTCTAGAACGCTCAAAAAACGTTTCAGACGATGCGAACTTGGCGAAATCGGTACATTCATGGACTGCAAGGAACTTCCCAGCGGAAAACACGAAACGCGGTCAGTCAGGGTTGTAGCTTTATGTGTTCTCGCCGCAATACGTTTCAGGAAGACTCCAATTGAGCTCTGCACTTCGAGAACGTGCAACAAGAAAAATACTCCAGTTGTACAACATAAATAAGCCATTCGCTCCGGTATGAAAACCCGTAATGGACGGTAATTTTTCGTTTACAGATAACACCGATTTTTCAAAAATAAATCATTTTTACGAAAACAAATACGAATGTGACAAAGAAGAGATCAGTTGAATGAAACATTAGAATCGTAGATCACGTTGAAACAAGTCATCTGCTGGACCATCAGCTGCGCATGAAGGTTCTCGTTGCGGACGGAAGCAAATCGAGTGTTCAGCGAGTTGAACAGTGCGTGCAGTGACTCAATCGACTGCTCGGTCAACCGTCCCCATGATCTGTTCGCTCGGAGGAATGGGATCAAATGCGAACAAATCAAGTGCAGTTTTGGAGTGACCACGGCCTGCGGCATCGTACTGCGAAGATTCCGAACGAGAGAATTGACGTGACTCTCGATTTCATCGATTTCGGAGTCCGTTTTCGCCGATGTGTCCGCACTGGACATGAGATGGCCCAAATTCTCCATGACGCGTCCAATCTTTGTGATGAATGGATTCGGGGGGAAAACTGCGAGCAGTTTCTGAATATTCTCTGAGCGGAGAATGTTCCGAATGCTGTTTCCGTTGAACTCCTGGAGCCACGCTCTTTGGTCGACACCGAAAGAACGCAGAGCTTCTTCGAATCGTCTCCGAGTAGGTCCCGATGATTTTTGCAGGTTGTTCTCGAGCTCTTCCATTAATTCGGCGGCTTCCTGAAGAATGACAGTATCCTCTTGCAACTCTGCATCGATTTTGGAAGTGAGTCGTCCGAGAAGTGTTCTCCGGGTGTCGTGTGACATATTGGCTCCAACGCTGCAGTCGAGGCATTTTGCAGTCGTATTGGGAAGTTCGAATTCGTCTTCATCCGTGAATCGGAAAGCGCAAACCGAATGAACTTTCCTCACACAATCGGCGCACGTGAATGAATGAAGAGGATGGAACGTATTCTTTCTGCTTTTCGATACAAGGCAAAATGATGATCCGCAAGATTCCGCTCGACTCGGACGTCCTCTTCTTGTGGTTGTAGCCTTTTCGAGAATTTCTGCTGCTTTCTCGGCCAACAGCTTCGATTGCTGAACACTATCAACGCGAGCAGTGTACTTGCTGACCTCCTCTTTTCTATTCTTCAATACTTTCCTTTGTTCTTTCAGGCTCCTCGGCAACGTCTGACCCTTTGAATCAAGCTGATTGCAGAGCGCAATGAGGGGATCAAGCACGTATGTTTTCGTGACACCCGCAATTGAGTGGAACGTCGGAGGTGCCAACGTAGCCGGATCAACCTTCATCAGCGCTTCGTCGTGTACCTCATCCAGAGTTCTTGCTTCTCCACACTCTTCGAACTTGAATGTTGCAACAAGAGCTGCGTTCGAGCCGTGTGTTGTCCATGATTTTTTACACAAGAAGCACGGGCATCTGGACGCTTGACCTGGGTGGTTGTAAAGGGACGAAAGATACTTGCAGTCGCCCAGCGGAATTCGTCGGACTTTTCTGCTGACGGGAGTTCCGTTTTCTTCGTAAGTAAGGTTGTTCAGTTCGTTCACCTTAAAAGATAAGTTCTAAGAGTGCCCAAATTGGCAGACACACACCTGCTGGAACACATAACCTATTTTAGCCTTCAGCGTGAAGTAGTCATCGTTTCCACTGTAGTAACCGAGCAGCAGGCATCCTTTCGGATCGTTCGGAGTTTGAGCGTTGGCGATGATCATGGCGAGCTTGGTCTGATCGCCTCCTTTGTCGCCGGCAACTCCAACTAGGATGTCGTCCTTCGTGACAGCGTCGAAGCGGAGAAGTCCTGATTTGTGCAGTTGCTGAATCCGATGACTGAGCACTTCCTCCAATCGAGTGATTCCGACCACCGCCGAGTGAACAACGATACGAGTGCCGGTTTTCGTCAGTTTCTCACAAGTTTCGATTTCAATTTTGTAGTTGGCTCCTGGTGCAAACTTTTTTCTGGTCTCTTGAATAGCGTACCGTGAGCCGATTACGTCGAAGGAAAGTCGGCTCTCAAGAAACGACTTTAACGACTTCATAAAACCATCAGACATCCTCAGATGAACAGCCAGCACGAATGAGTCCCAGTCGGTCAAAGTCAGTCGGAAGGACAGGTTTTTGTTGGCTGATACATAGTGGATGAAATCGGTGACAAATGCATCAAGGTGAGCTGTGCCGGTAAACGTCTCGATATCCTCCAGAAGTGCTTTGAATCGCTCGTCTTTCGTATGCTGTTTCTGAAGATCACCATATGACTTCCGGAATTTCGAAGCTGTCAGCTTCGGCAGTTGCTTTATGAGCGGAGAGATTGTTTCTTCGTGCTGCTTTGCCTGGTTCTGTGATACAAGTAAGACGGCGGTCGAGAAGTGTTCGCTATATGAGCTTCGAAGATTTTCCATTTCCCTCTGATAACGCTGAGCATCTGCCCGAGCCTGACGATATATTTCCTCTATTTCTTTCTCTTCTTCGCGGAGAATAACATTCTGCTGCCTCAGAAAGTTGGAAAGTTTTTCGCCTTCTTCGACCTCGTTCTTCAGATGTTCCAACTTCCGAAGCAGAGTTCTCTCTTTCTCGGACCACTCTGCCTGTTGAATTTTCAACTGCTCCAACTGCACATCTTTCTTTTTCCGTTGTTCCCGATTTTTTTCAGTCAGCAACCGTTGAGATTTCCTGTGAGCGGCTGTCACCTTTCTTGGTTTTCCCATTCTGTAATATTCCAAATTCCTTCAATACTTCTGCTTTATTTATTTCTCCTCTAAAGCCCTTTCCTGTCATTTTTTCCTTAATTTCCGATTTAAACCAACCTTAATTAATAAAATCCGTTTTCTCGGCTGAACCCGTTGAACAAGGGATACCCGTTTTCTTCTGTAATACGACAATAACCGGTAAAAATAGACGAGAAACGTGATTTCCAAAAAAATTAGAAGAAAAACACGACACATCGGAATACCCGTCCAAAATTGCACTTTTTTCACTTTCCGGTTCTTCTTATTCTTCGCAATGCTTGTTCTGACACTGAAAGCCGCTGCAATCGCAATTTCTTTGAGATTCATAGCTTGGGAAGTTCCAAAACCGCAGTTTTCGAAGCGCTGCTGAACAAAAATGGATAAATGTGATTTGCGACTTAACCAAATTTCACTCTCTTGCGCTTAAAAAATTATTATTGACGCGCACAATCGCGCTATCGAGACACAACTGAAAAAAAAACACATTTTCACGGTTTATTTCGCACAAAAGCCACATTTTGCAATTAAAATTTGAATTTCCCTCCAAAATGCTGCCGTGTGCGGCGGAGCGCACTTGCGCCCATTGTCAGTTCTGGAGACCGTGTGTTAATCAGAGAAAAAATTGCTAATTCTTGCAGATTTTCAGCAATTTTTCAACGTTTTACAGGTAAAATGCCGAATTCCGATAACGATGAGGCAGCCGACGAGCATTTGCCGAAAAACTATCAAGATTTTCCGGACGGCAGCTTGTTGCGCGTGATATTTCATAATTTTTTGTAAGTTTCAAGTGTAAAACGGGCTAAATTTGCATTTCAGAACCTACGAGCACACTTCGTTCGTGCCGACCGCGAGTCTGAACATGATTCTCGGCCACAACGGCAGCGGCAAGTCGTCGATCATCTGCGGAATCTGTCTGGCGTGCGGCGGAAGCCCCAAGTCGCTGGGCAGATCGGAGAAGATTCAGGAGTACGTGCGTCACGGATGCCAGGAGGGATACGTCGAGATTGCCATGTAAAACTGCGAAATTCTTGAAAAATCTGCGATTTTTTCTGATTTTAGTGCCGACCAGAAAGAAGGACCTCAAACTGTCCGTCTAACAATTCGTGCGGGAAAGGCTCCGGAATATCGGCTCAATAATCAGGTTACGACCCAGGCGGAGTTGAGTAATCTCAGAAAACACTATAACATTCAAGTAAGTCTAAAAAACACGGTCTCCAGAGCTGACAATATGGGCGTGGCCTCTGCCAAGTGGCGTTTTCCTGGCGCTGTAAGCTGTGGAGACCGTGGAAAACAGAGAAGTATTCAATATCAACAATTCAGATCGACAATCCATGCGCGTTTCTGGCTCAGGATAAAGTGAAGAGTTTCTCGGAACAATCGGCGATCGAATTGCTGCGAAATACGGAGAAGGCGGCGTCGGAGGACCTTTCCGTGGAGCACGAGGCGCTCATGGAGCAACGGCATGATTCGACGACCATCGAGGACAAGTGCGCGACTTCCGAAAAGGCGGTGAAGAATCTGGAGAACGAGATTCATAAACTGGAGCCGTTTGTGGAGAACTACCGAAAAAAGTTGGCGCTGCAGACGAAATTGCGACTTTTGGAGAAGAAAATGAAGATTCTGGAGTTTGAGAAAGCGGAAAAAGAGTTCGGAGTGGAGTGCGAGAACGCGAGGGCCGCCACGCAAGAATACGATCAGGTCAAGGCGGACATCGACGAGTGCGCACGGAAAACCAATGGATTCCAGATGCTCATCGAGGAGAAGACGACCGTCGTTCGCACATTGGTTAGACTACTGAAAACATTTTAGATTTGTCGAAAATTCATCGCTGCTAAAACCTCTTTTTCAGCGTCAAAGCGCCGAAGAACTGATGAAGAGAATGGATGACACAGTGGACAAGAGATCGATGGAAATCCGAATGGAAAGTGCGATTGAGAAGATGGAATCGATCAAAAAAGCTTTCAAACGACACGACCGCGACATGGCGAAGGCACAAGAGACATTGGAGGCGACGCAGGAAAAACATCGACAGGCACTGGAGGATATGGAAGGATTCGAGGAGTGGAACGAAAAGTTTAAACTGACGGAGGCGCGTCTCAACAATATAGAGGCGGACTTCCGCAGGGAGCAGGACAAGATCCGCGAAGAGTCTTATCAGCACGAGGCCAGAGTCAGAAGTACTCGAGTTATTGAATATTGATAGTAATAAAGTGCACTTTCAGAGGAGAGAGAAGCGATTTCCGATGCGAACAGCATCCTTCGCGACCGTATTCGCGTACTTCAGGGTCTCGACGGAAATGCGTATAAAGCGTATGAGTATTACATGAAGAACAGGCCACAGTTCGACGCGGACATCTATGTTCCGATTATTGATGTGAGAGATCTTCCAAATTTACAGTTTTCGACAGTAACCGATAAGCTCCGCCTCTTTGAGCAGTCATTCGAAAAAAATGTCAAATTTGTCCGATTTTTCATTCGATTTCGATTAGAGACAGGTTACAGTCGACAACTGGGTGGACCGCGCAAAAATGAACTGTATCTCCAACCTCTACCCCGTTTCAGATCACCCTAAAGACCCCGACCGCTGCAAAAATCCTGGAGAACAGTGTCGGAATGCGTGATCGGACAATGTTCGTGTGCCAGACGAAGGCCGACGAGCAGCGAATGCACGCGAACAACGGAATCAACACGACGGTCTTGCCGCCCGAAAAAGTCCACCGCGAGGACATAGAAGCCCGCTCGCCGCCCGCGATGAAAAGGATCGGATTCGAGATGCTCGCCGCCGAATGCTTCGACGCGCCCGACCCTCTCAAGCAGTTTCTGATCAACGTGTCCGGGCTCGGCCGCATTCTCGTTGGAAATCAACAAGTGGACAGGAATATGGAGGCCGTCTCCAGGGCCGTTGAGAACACCCCGTACGGAGTGTTTTTGACTCCCACCATGAGGGTAACAACTTTCGACTTTTCCGGGAAACTCAAATTTAGATTTGTTCATGCAATTTCCCAGAAAATTGGTTTTACAACAGCCAGGCCCCTTTTTTCCACTTGCCACCGTTTTTCTTTCAGTGCCAAGTGTCAAAGTCCAAGTATTCGGGACAATCGTCGCACATGCAAACGCTGCTCCGCGACGCGTACACGTTCCGCGATCCGTGCTACCGAAAAGCGCCGCAAGCGAAACGGAACGTTCAGCAACAGCAGCAGGCGATGGAGCAATTGCGACAGGCGGAGCAGATGATGCAGCAGAAACAGGCACAGCTCCGCGAGAAGATACAGGCGGTGCAGAGGGAGAGGGACGTCGTCCGGAACGAGTGCTCCGAGTGGAGATCTAAACGGCATCTCGTGGGCACGTGGCAGGCGGACGTGAAGCTCGCCGAGGAAAATTTGAAACGGCTCGAGGAGCAGAACATCGACGTGGACGCGGCGGAGCAGGAATTCGAGGAGACGAGGGCGAATGCCGTTGAGCAGACGCTGGACATGTTCCGGAAAGCTGTCAAATGGCAGGTCAGCACAGAAATTGGAAACAAAAACTCTGAAGGATTGGCTTGAGGTTTTTTGGGACTAATTTTCAGACAGATCGGACTATCCGTATATGTGGATCAGAGGTCGAGAATATCGCAATTTTAGCAAAACCCCGGCATATATCTCAGCTGCCAGTAGAAATATCAAAAAGTAGTCTGAGCGCTATAGGAGTGCACTTCTATTACGGTATTTACGGTATACTGGTTTGGAGACGAGGAGTTTTGTAAAAATTGCGACCTTTTCGGCCTCTGATCCACATATCTCGGGACCAGATCCCAAGACACCTCGATCCAAGTTTAAGAAGAAGAATAGTGTAACCTGGGCAGACCATCATACAAATAATAAATTCAGAAAGCCTACTTGGAAAATTACGAGGAGGTTGGACGTCACACGTTCATCGAAATGATCTGCAAGAACAAGGTGAGAATGATGAAACTGGAGGAGGAGGACCTGCGAAAGAAGCTCAACGAACTGAGCCACACGAAGCGAGAGGCGGAGGCGAACGTGAAAAGCGCGCTGAACAGAAAGAGAGCGGCGGCGGAGGCGATGTCGAAGACGTGCCAGCTGAAACATCTGAAGGAGAAGGACATGGACGCGGCGGAGAAGCGAATCTTTGAGAAACTGAGCAAACTGTTCGAAGAGGGAGGCGTTCCTGAGAACCTGGACGCGCTGGAGCTCGAAATCTCTTCGGAACAGGCACGTCTCCGACTGGCCGAGGATCAGGGAGAGGACGGCGGAATCGAGCACGAGCATCAGATGGAAAAGTTAAAGTTGGACTTCGTCGAGGAGCAATCGCGCCACGAAAAACTCGTGGAGAACCGTCGAGTTCTGCATGAGGAACTCGGAACGAACATTGAGAATTGGAGGGAGAAGGTGGAGGAGATGATCGATCACATCAACGAGAACTACGTCAAATACTTTGGCGAGCTAGGATGTCGCGGAGAAGTCGGACTGGAGACGCCCGAGAATCCGGTGAGCAATGGGGGCAGGGCTTGACGTAAATTGTGTTATTTTTAGTTGGACATTGCCAAGTACGGCATCATGATTAGCGTTTCGTTCCGAGCTGGAGAAAAAATGAAGAGACTCGATAATAAGGTTAGTTTTTCTCGGTTTCTCTCTCAGTCTGATCTCCTCACATTTTGTGAGACGTATAATTTGACCCAAAACATAAGATCACCTACTAGAGGGACCAATATTCTCGATCTCTTATTTACAAATTTTTCCATTCCGACTCCTCATATTTCTGCCCCTCTTGGAACCAGCGATCACTGCAAAGTTTCTTTCACAGTTGATCTATTAGAAAAGCCTAAACCATCTTTCTACCTACTTCCCGACTACAAACATATTAACGGTCCTCTCCTCAATGCTTATCTGTCAGCTCCAGACTGGACAATAATTTTCGGCCCTGACACCATCGAAGAGAAATATTTCAACTTCATTGGTTACCTAAAGCATGTCTTTGCTCAAGTAGTTCCGCACAAGTGGGTCGAGTCGACTCATGGGTCACTACCTAGTTACCTGGACTCCTTCCAAACTGGTCGAGTCTCACTGGAATAAAGCTGTTCGAACCAGGGACTGCTCGGACTACATTGAGTATATTAAACTTGCGCAAAAATTTCGGAAAAAATTTACTAAATACAAAAAAAATCTAGAGCTCAATCTTCTCAAAACCAAGGGCTGCAGCAAATTTTCTCAACTCTCGAAATTCATATTGAAAAAAGAAAAACTCTCTTATCCTAAATTTATCATGAAGTCGGGTCTTCCCACTGCATCGGACTCTGACAAATGTGAGGTTCTAGCCGATAACTTCCAAGCGCAATACCTTCATCATCAGAACCTCCCAGTCTCAAGTTTCCCCCCCGGATACCAATCAAATCAGGGCATTCCCTGGGTAAGTGACGAGGAAATTTTTGAAGCAGCTCGTCAAAAATCAAACCGAACAATACACTAACCCCAGATGAAATTCCGGCCAGATTCCTCAAATTTGTATCTCCCTTTATAGCCAGTCCTGTGGCACAACTATGTAATCTCTCGATGATGTCAGGTGCCGTTCCCGCTCAGTGGACAAAATCTATAGTGTTTCCCCTTAAGAAAAATTACCAATCCGACTCTACCCGTTCATTTTTCGCCCTATTAGTTTTAACCTCGGTCATCTGCCGCTCTTACGAAAGGTGTCTATTGCGCTATTTACTTCAGCACCTTCAAGAGATACAATTCTGGAGCGATAGCCAGCACGGCTTCCGACCAGGCAGATCCACAACTACATGTGCTTTAGAAGCCATGAATGATTGGACCACACATTTGGAAGAGGGTCAACAGGTGGACGTGATCTATTTCGACTTCTGCAAGGCTTTCGATAGAGTACCGCACTCGCTTCTAATAGAGAAGCTAATGATGCTGAATTTGAACGTGAATCTTATCAATTGGATCAAAGCTTACCTAAATAATCGCAGCTACCAAGTTCGAATAAACAACGCACTCTCATCAGTAAGGCCCGCTCCGTGTGGGGTACCACAAGGTGGGGTTCTGTCCCCAGTTCTTTTCTGTATTTATGTCAACGAAATTAGCATGATCCTCCCTCCTCAGATACAATCAAAGCAATATGCGGACGACCTCAAGATCTACACACACTTCCCCAAGACATCCCCTTCCAAAGATCTCCAGATCGCAATTGACCGTATTTCTGAATGGTCCAAGAAACACAAGCTGTCTCTTAATCTCTCTAAATCAGTTTGTATATCACTAGGTCGAAATCCCACAATAACCAAATATTATATCGACACAGCCACGGTCTCCAGAACTGACAATGGGCGCAAGTGCGCTCCGCCGCACACGGCAGCATTTTGGAGGGAAATTCAAATTTTAATTGCAAAATGTGGCTTTTGTGCGAAATAAACCGTGAAAATGTGTTTTTTTTTCAGTTGTGTCTCGATAGCGCGATTGTGCGCGTCAATAATAATTTTTTAAGCGCAAGAGAGTGAAATTTGGTTAAGTCGCAAATCACATTTATCCATTTTTGTTCAGCAGCGCTTCGAAAACTGCGGTTTTGGAACTTCCCAAGCTATGAATCTCAAAGAAATTGCGATTGCAGCGGCTTTCAGTGTCAGAACAAGCATTGCGAAGAATAAGAAGAACCGGAAAGTGAAAAAAGTGCAATTTTGGACGGGTATTCCGATGTGTCGTGTTTTTCTTCTAATTTTTTTGGAAATCACGTTTCTCGTCTATTTTTACCGGTTATTGTCGTATTACAGAAGAAAACGGGTATCCCTTGTTCAACGGGTTCAGCCGAGAAAACGGATTTTATTAATTAAGGTTGGTTTAAATCGGAAATTAAGGAAAAAATGACAGGAAAGGGCTTTAGAGGAGAAATAAATAAAGCAGAAGTATTGAAGGAATTTGGAATATTACAGAATGGGAAAACCAAGAAAGGTGACAGCCGCTCACAGGAAATCTCAACGGTTGCTGACTGAAAAAAATCGGGAACAACGGAAAGAAAGATGTGCAGTTGGAGCAGTTGAAAATTCAACAGGCAGAGTGGTCCGAGAAAGAGAGAACTCTGCTTCGGAAGTTGGAACATCTGAAGAACGAGGTCGAAGAAGGCGAAAAACTTTCCAACTTTCTGAGGCAGCAGAATGTTATTCTCCGCGAAGAAGAGAAAGAAATAGAGGAAATATATCGTCAGGCTCGGGCAGATGCTCAGCGTTATCAGAGGGAAATGGAAAATCTTCGAAGCTCATATAGCGAACACTTCTCGACCGCCGTCTTACTTGTATCACAGAACCAGGCAAAGCAGCACGAAGAAACAATCTCTCCGCTCATAAAGCAACTGCCGAAGCTGACAGCTTCGAAATTCCGGAAGTCATATGGTGATCTTCAGAAACAGCATACGAAAGACGAGCGATTCAAAGCACTTCTGGAGGATATCGAGACGTTTACCGGCACAGCTCACCTTGATGCATTTGTCACCGATTTCATCCACTATGTATCAGCCAACAAAAAAACCTGTCCTTCCGACTGACTTTGACCGACTGGGACTCATTCGTGCTGGCTGTTCATCTGAGGATGTCTGATGGTTTTATGAAGTCGTTAAAGTCGTTTCTTGAGAGCCGACTTTCCTTCGACGTAATCGGCTCACGGTACGCTATTCAAGAGACCAGAAAAAAAGTTTGCACCAGGAGCCAACTACAAAAATTGAAATCGAAACTTGTGAGAAACTGACGAAAACCGGCACTCGTATCGTTGTTCACTCGGCGGTGGTCGGAATCACTCGATTGGAGGAAGTGCTCAGTCATCGGATTCAGCAACTGCACAAATCAGGACTTCTCCGCTTCGACGCTGTCACGAAGGACGACATCCTAGTTGGAGTTGCCGGCGACAAAGGAGGCGATCAGACCAAGCTCGCCATGATCATCGCCAACGCTCAAACTCCGAACGATCCGAAAGGATGCCTGCTGCTCGGTTACTACAGTGGAAACGATGACTACTTCACGCTGAAGGCTAAAATAGGTTATGTGTTCCAGCAGGTGTGTGTCTGCCAATTTGGGCACTCTTAGAACTTATCTTTTAAGGTGAACGAACTGAACAACCTTACTTACGAAGAAAACGGAACTCCCGTCAGCAGAAAAGTCCGACGAATTCCGCTGGGCGACTGCAAGTATCTTTCGTCCCTTTACAACCACCCAGGTCAAGCGTCCAGATGCCCGTGCTTCTTGTGTAAAAAATCATGGACAACACACGGCTCGAACGCAGCTCTTGTTGCAACATTCAAGTTCGAAGAGTGTGGAGAAGCAAGAACTCTGGATGAGGTACACGACGAAGCGCTGATGAAGGTTGATCCGGCTACGTTGGCACCTCCGACGTTCCACTCAATTGCGGGTGTCACGAAAACATACGTGCTTGATCCCCTCATTGCGCTCTGCAATCAGCTTGATTCAAAGGGTCAGACGTTGCCGAGGAGCCTGAAAGAACAAAGGAAAGTATTGAAGAATAGAAAAAGAGGAGGTCAGCAAGTACACTGCTCGCGTTGATAGTGTTCAGCAATCGAAGCTGTTGGCCGAGAAAGCAGCAGAAATTCTCGAAAAAGGCTACAACCACAAGAAGAGGACGTCCGAGTCGAGCGGAATCTTGCGGATCATCATTTTTGCCTTGTATCGAAAAAGCAGAAAGAATACGTTCCATCCTCTTCATTCATTCACGTGCGCCGATTGTGTGAGGAAAGTTCATTCGGTTTGCGCTTTCCGATTCACGGATGAAGACGAATTCGAACTTCCCAATACGACTGCAAAATGCCTCGACTGCAGCGTTGGAGCCAATATGTCACACGACACCCGGAGAACACTTCTCGGACGACTCACTTCCAAAAATCGATGCAGAGTTGCAAGAGGATACTGTCATTCTTCAGGAAGCCGCCGAATTAATGGAAGAGCTCGAGAACAACCTGCAAAAATCATCGGGACCTACTCGGAGACGATTCGAAGAAGCTCTGCGTTCTTTCGGTGTCGACCAAAGAGCGTGGCTCCAGGAGTTCAACGGAAACAGCATTCGGAACATTCTCCGCTCAGAGAATATTCAGAAACTGCTCGCAGTTTTCCCCCCGAATCCATTCATCACAAAGATTGGACGCGTCATGGAGAATTTGGGGCCATCTCATGTCCAGTGCGGACACATCGGCGAAAAACGGACTCCGAAATCGATGAAATCGAGAGTCACGTCAATTCTCTCGTTCGGAATCTTCGCAGTACGATGCCGCAGGCCGTGGTCACTCCAAAAACTGCACTTGATTTGTTCGCATTTGATCCCATTCCTCCGAGCGAACAGATCATGGGGACGGTTGACCGAGCAGTCGATTGAGTCACTGCACGCACTGTTCAACTCGCTGAACACTCGATTTGCTTCCGTCCGCAACGAGAACCTTCATGCGCAGCTGATGGTCCAGCAGATGACTTGTTTCAACGTGATCTACGATTCTAATGTTTCATTCAACTGATCTCTTCTTTGTCACATTCGTATTTGTTTTCGTAAAAATGATTTATTTTTGAAAAATCGGTGTTATCTGTAAACGAAAAATTACCGTCCATTACGGGTTTTCATACCGGAGCGAATGGCTTATTTATGTTGTACAACTGGAGTATTTTTCTTGTTGCACGTTCTCGAAGTGCAGAGCTCAATTGGAGTCTTCCTGAAACGTATTGCGGCGAGAACACATAAAGCTACAACCCTGACTGACCGCGTTTCGTGTTTTCCGCTGGGAAGTTCCTTGCAGTCCATGAATGTACCGATTTCGCCAAGTTCGCATCGTCTGAAACGTTTTTTGAGCGTTCTAGAGCCTTTTTGCAAGAGAAAATGAACTGAAAACAAAACAGATTATTTATTCTCAGAAAAATCGAGTTTTACAATAAGAAAAACGAAAATGCGGCGAGAAAAATCACGGATCGCATATTGCGCCAGCAAAGGCGAAAAACGCGCCAACCATTCAAAAAGCGCGTCACCAGTCCCGCGACTCCGCCCATATTGTCAGTTCTGGAGACCGTGTAACAGATCTAAGAAAAAACAAAATTCGAATTTGTTCCAAGAAAGTGCGATGGAGCGCACTTGCATTGCTATCTCGAAGTTTCAGGGATTTTCAGCCGAAAATCGCTGGAATAAGGATTAAAAAAGAGGAACAAAAATGTGGACAGTATTTATTGAACTTTTAAAATAAAAACAAGTAATTTTCAATAACCAATCACCTACACAAAACACGAGAGATTAGTGGAACGTCACAAACTGAGCGGGCGAAGTGATCGATGTGGAAAAAGTTCAATTGGCTACCGATTCTGATGACGTCGCGGCGGATATAAAAGGATCGAGCGGAACGGTGTAGAGAAACATGCGGATCCTTTGGTTATTCCCCATTTTCACTTGTGGAACACTTGCGGACACTTTTGAGCTCATTTTTGTGACAGCGGTACTTACTTTAAACAAAAAAGAGAGTACCGTTCTATTTTGTGAACTTTTAGCTCTGGAGACATGGCGATCGTGCGCCTCAGTACCCTTTCCGAAACGATAAAATCACCGAAAGCGACTGGAATCACATTGGAACCGGAATCGGACAATTGACCTATGTGAGCACATTGAAGTTATCATGCAAAAGACGTTCCCAGTTGTTCAGGAAGGAGTCAAGCAGCAAATAGAACTGGGAAAGGCGATCCGCAAGAGATACTCTCACTTCCTGCCCCGACAGTTCGATCCGAACTCGGTAAAGTTCCGATCAACGAACAGGAATCGAACGATTCTCTCTGCAAAGGCCAACTTTCTGGGAATGTACCCCGACGAGAAGGTGCTACCGATCACGGTTCCGAGTGATTATGCGGCCGATTGTGTGAACAACGTCATGTGTAACTGCCGACGAAGGGATGTGCTGCAGGGGATCGCAAAGGGTCTCGAGGAGTTCAAGGATGTGGCAGAGAACTCGGAGGTGAGCACAAGGACCCGGGCTATTTAGTCAAAAGGGTCGCATCCGATCGCATACTAAGCAGTGTTGAGCGGAATTCCAGTTCCCAACTTTGCAGACCCATTCCCTCTTCTCGAAACTCTCCCGACTCACCGGCGAGCCCTCGATCACCGTCGACAACTTCTGGCGCATTCCCGACACTCTCCGGTGCGAAAAACGACACCTTCCGCTGCTCCTGAACGCCTCCAACCCCTGGTATTCTGACGAACTTCTGGATGAGCTGGAGCACCTGAACACCCGGATAAATCGATTCACTTCGGGGTTGTACACGTCTGGAATTGCGCGGGAGATTGCAAAAATCCGATCCGGACCGTTGGTTTCAGAGATTTTCGGAAGAATGATCGAGAAGTTGAATAGTACGGGTTCGGAGTTCAAGTACTACGCCTACTCTTCGGTACATTAAAATAACTTTAAATATTTTCTCAAATGCCCTCATTTTCCAGCACGACATGACTCTTTTCTCTCTGCTCACGGCACTCGGCCTCCAGAATGTGACGTCTTCTGAAATCGGCGGCTGGCCCGCCTACGCATCCTCCATTTTCGTCGAACTTTTCATCCGGTCCTCCGATAATTCTGCCCACTTCCGAATCATCTACCGTACCGCTGCCACGTCGATTTTCCAGAATATCACACCCCAAATCCCAAAGTGCCACGGAAAATTCTACTGTCCATTGACGGTTTTTGAGAAAATCCAACAGGATTTGTCGATTGGCGGATTGCCGATTTCCGAGTTCTGTCAACTCACTTCCGATCTCATTCCCTAACCAAAACTGGTATAATAGTTAGTCAACAGGATAGAAAATAAATATATTTTCAACCAAACACCACATAAACACCAATTTCCATAATCGTAAACCGTATCGCCTGCTTGCCGCTCTTCCAGACTTCTGTACTCTGCGCTTTCGCGTTGGATTCCGTGTTTGCGTACAAAACCCATTATCCTACGACAGTTCGAAAAACGCGCACCTTCTTGACGGAAAAAGCAAATATTTGGCGTCAGGGATGAGCAGGAAAACATGAAAAATAGGGAGAAACATGCAAAACCCAGAAAAAAAAACGGTTTTTGTTGCGATGGTCGCCAGTTTTTACAACCCGGTGTATGACGAAAGTGCGCGACTTTCGAAGGGATAAATCTGTCCGTCACTTCTCGTTTTTACACAAAATAATCGCCGACCATGTTTTGATTGCGGATTTTATCGATTTTTTCACTGATTTGTTTCCCAACTTACAGTAACCCTCTTTCCACGTTCCAAAACTCTAAAACCGTGTAGCCATTTGAGCGAAAAAAGGAAAAATGAAAAAAAAAGCCAAAACTTGTCCATTTTTTACAGTTTCCCACCGTGAATTCGCCGGAATGCACTCTCAACTGTTCGTGTGCGTTTTGGCGATTTTCACGGACTTTCTAGAAGCCGAGCCGCTGCCCGCCGAACTCGAACTCATTTTTGTGCATACGGTAGGTGTACGGTAACCGCCCACGAACTGTGTTTGTCAATTTGAAGGTCTGGCGACACGGAGATCGCAGTCAAGAGGGTCATTTGAACAATGATCCGGTTGATCCGTCGAAATGGATCAAAGGCGGCGGCGGTTACGGTCAGCTGACACCGGTAATGTCAAACTTTTCTGCATTTTGTCGTAAGATTCGGTGTATTGACACTCAAATCCACGCGAAACTTCAGAATTTTTAGGAAGGAATGGAACAACATTTCATATTGGGCAAAAAATTGCGAGATCGTTATATCGCAACCGGATTTTTACACAGTTTCTATGATTCTCAACAGGTTTTTCTGAACAAATTGTAGCACACAATATCAATGCGAAATGTCTAGATTTATATCCGATCGACCGACGTGAATCGTACGATAAACTCGGCAATCTCGAACATGTTGGGCATGTACTCGACGCCCGCACGACCAGGTTAGTCGTTCTTCTTATCTAGATATTGCCGTACGTCGGCGAAACGTGCCGCCATACACAGGAAAAACGGGAACACTCGGGGATTACTGAGCGATCACCGAGTAGACGCTGATTAGCCAGAAATCAGTAATCGGTCAGTGAACAGCCACTGAAGGGGACGCTAAGCAGTGAGGAATCACTGTCCGATTACTGAGGAGCGCAGTGAGAAATTAGCGAAGCATGAGTGAAACGCGATGAGCGAAAGATTAGTGAGGAGAAACTGAACAGAACGGGATCACTGAGAAGTTAGTGTAGGATCACTCTTGAAACGGGATCACTCTAGGATTAGTCTAGTGTTGCCGTCTTGCCCACACTCTAAAAATTTACAAGTCCTGACAATATGCCCTTGTTAGCATTTATAAGTATCATGTTGGAAGCGGTAACTTGCTTTTTTGTAATTATGATTTTTTTCTGTGTTACTCTGAGATTTTTCCGCTGTCGCAAAGTTTTGCCTTCGAAGTTTAAAATTTCTTCACTCGAACTGTTCGTCGATTTTTTTTTGCACTTTGTTCAATTTTCATGTAATGGGGCTATTCAGCGTCTGTTTGTTTTCCGTTTTTTTACATCGCTGAATTATATTTTTTGACGTAAAAAAAACGAAAAAAACGGAAAACAATCTTTTTTTTCACAGCCTGAATAACCCCATAAGTGTGCAGTGTGCCTTACCGAAAGGGTTTCGGTAAATTTACCGGTAAATTTACCGGTAAAAATTTCGGTAAATTGTCGGTAAATTTTCGGTAAAACTTTTTTTTTACCGAAAGAGTTTCGGTAAATTTTCGAAACAATTTACCGAAAGTTTACCGAAAATTTACCGATAAATTTACCGGTAAATTTACCGAAACTATTTCGGTAAAAGTTTCGGTAAATTTTATCGGTAAAAGTTTCGGTAAATTTTATCGGTAAATGGGTACTTTTTCGAAACAATTTTCAATTTTGAGAACGGAACATTGAGGCGACTGTTCAGCGTGTTCCTGATGTTTGGGATGTTGTTCAGAATGTTCTAAATTGGTCACATCAGTCACTTCCCTTGTCAAAAAAAGAACGAGCTCGGTAAAAACGTTTTTACCGAAAATTTACCGAAATTCACTTCTTTCGGTAAAAAAAATTTCGGTAAGGCACACTTAAAGTGTGTAAAGAAGAAAGCGACGAACAGTTTGTTTGTAAATTTTTTAACTTGGAGCGAAAATGCATATAAATTCAACTGGGTGACTTTTTGCTGACTGCAAAGGCAAAAAACGATATCATTCGTGTCCTTTGACTACTTGGACTTGTTCTCAATTTTCCGATAATTTTTATTTGAACCATCACATCGAAATACTCTTCCCCCTTAGTCCAAGTGAAAAAAGGCAAAGACTCGAGTAAAACGGGAAACAATGAGCGAAGTGAACGGGAACAGAGGGAAGCGAACGCGGGGAAGTGAGGAATCAGCGACGGATCAGTGAACGGAGGGGAAGAGCGGGAAGCGAACGCTGGGCAGTGAGGAATCAGTGAGGAATCAGTAATCGGCGAAACGGGAGTTCAGTAACCGATTGTTCCACGCTCAGTGGTTAGCGTGTCTAATCCTTCAGTGATTCTTCGCTGTTCCCGTTTTTCCTGTGTAGCTCAGTCGGTTAGAGCGTGGGTCTAATAAGCCCAAGGTCGCAGGTTCGACCCCTGCTGGCGGCAAACTTTTTTGTGTGTTTAGGCATCGACTTCCCCGACATTGACGGCTGGCCACGTGGCTTCATGCCAGTGCCCGTTCACAGTTTGGGCTCGCCGAGCGACGATTGTGTGGCCAGCGCGTTTTGCTCGTGCAAACGGCGTGATGCGCTTTTGGCGATTGCTCACACAGGCGAGCAGTTTCAGAAATACGTGACGTCTGAAAATGTACGTACTTTCTTGCTGAAATTTAAAATATTTACTTTTAGTATCTAAATACGACCGCCCATATTTCCGAAATATTCAACTCGACTTTCACCTACAATAACTTGTGGAAAGCCCACGACGCAGTCATGATTCAGGTAGTTTTTGAAATCCCAAAACTGTAATGTCAATTTTTCTCTAGCTAATCCATTTCCCGGAAATCGTGCAAAACCAATCGTGGTACTCTCCCGAATTCTACGATAATCTTGAAACACTCGAAAGAACGGCGAAAGCGTTCGTTTCCGGACTGTACGATCCGCCCGTCGTCAACGGAATCGATGTACGCAAGGAGATTCTGAAGACACGTGGCGGCTCGCTCATAAACGAAATCGCGGCGAGAATGAGGACGAAGGCGTTGTGCGCGAAAAACACGGCAAAATGCGACGAATACCACCGGGATCTGAAGTATTATGCCTATTCGACGGTGCTCGGGAGCCAAGAAGTTCCAGAGAAATTCTCAATTTTCAGCATGATCACACAGTATTCGCTCTTCTGTCAGTTCTTGGATTAGAAGATGTTGTGGGCGGGCCAGAGAGGCACGGAGAATGGCCGGATTACTCTTCGGATATCCTTGTCGAACTATTTCATAACAAAACCGATGCAAGGCCGTACTTCAGAGTGAGTCTTCCGCGAAATTTGTATCCTCGATCCAGAAATTTCAGGTTCTTTACTTGAGAAACATCAACTCAACATTTGAAGTTGTTACACCAAAGATAAAAGGCTGCAATGAAATGGAATTTTGTGATGCAAAAGTGTTCGACAATTGTGCAAAAGAATTCAGGCCAGACCGCCCAATGGAGGAATTTTGTCAAATGGCCCCAGTTCACGAGAATACTGTAATTGCCTGGTTCGATGACATAATTCACCATGAAAGCTCATCATCTAACTACTCGTATCTTTCATCATTAATTCTATTTTTCTTCTTTTTGATAAACTGATGATCTAAGCATGTAGAAACAACAATTTATTTCAACAACGAAGACCGAGTTTACTCGTGGTCGCTTCCAGCGTCCTCTCCGTCGTTGATGTGGAAGTATCTGACCTCGTAGGTGTTCTTGTTGACAGCAACCACACGGAGCCAGTCACGGAGAGAGTTTCTCTTCAGGTACTTCTTGGTGAGGTACTTGAGGTATCTGAAAAACACGGAAATGAAGGTCGGTAGCAAAAAGAACAACACACCTCTTGGAGAATGGGACCTCAGAGATGACCGAGACCTTGGTCTTGGCAACCTCGACCTTGACGTTGTTGGCGGCCAAGTGTCCGGTCTTTCCGTTGACCTTGATCTTCTCGTTCAAGAAGGCCTCCTGAAAGCAACCAGGACTTACTAGGGACCAAAAATACCCTAAGCCTGGTCGTTGCGATAGAGACGGGAGCTCTATCGACTAGATTCGGCTTTTTCGGGAAGCCAAAAACTTACGAGATCCTCAATTCTGAGAATTCCGTCCTCGACTGGGTTTTTGCACTCAACGTTGAACTTGAGATGCACCTTCTTCTTGCGAAGAGTTCTCTTGGTGGACTTGGTGTGCGGCTTAGCGACCATGATTACCTGCAAAATGTGAAAAATAGGTTTTCGCTAAAAAATTCGGACAAAAATCACGAGAAAACGTATGAAAAGTGGGAGAACGCTAGAAGAAAGCGTTGTACAACAGGTAAATTATTTTAAGAATACTTTTTAATTAATTTTTGACAAATTTCCTAGAAAAAATTGCGAAAAAGCATCTAAAGAAGAAGTAAAATGGGAGACTAAAATTTGGGCCTAAAGTCGGCCATGCGGAGGCTCTCGTGGCGCGAATACTACGGTAACACTCACTTCAGCTGTGCGCACCTCCTCGTTTCGCACACTCTCTCGCTTTCTCTGCCGCCGACCGAGGGACGATGGCCTAGAAACCTCCGATTTTCAAGGGGATTTGTGAGCAATTTTTGAGCATTTCGAAGCGTTTGAGCTCAAAAAAATGGTAAAGTGTAATTTCACATCAAAAATTTAATTTACAGACAACAAAAAAACGTTTCCAGCAAGAAATCGTACACTTTTCAGGTGCAAATTCCCCCGAAAAATCAGAAAAAATCACATTTATCTTCGATAAGAAAATACGGAACTTCGCTGTTTTTACACATTTCTTTCAGTGAATATGAGGAAAACGTTTAGCTGTAATCCCGCTGGAATTCTGAACCGAATTGGAGACAAAAACGGAAATTAAAGTGTTCTTTATTAGTAAGAAAATCGTCCGATTCAATACAATTCTAAACATCTTTATGGCTTTGATTTAACTGAAACGCCTCGTCGGTAACTCGTTCTTCACACTTCTTTCTGACTAAGAGAGTTGTATTCAGCAACTTCAATTTTCTCAACCGATGTCACAATCTGAAATTATCAAAATGACAGCAGGCCCCAGTTACCAGTCCCGCTTACTCTTGAAGTGAAATCGTAATCGCCCGGTGTCTCGAAATAATCCCCGTCCGCATAGTATTCTTCGTCGCGAACTTGATCCCACACTTTCACTTTCAGTAGAAGTCCAGTAATGTATCCAGATACTGTAGAAGCGAGAAGTACGAGTCCGATCGCCATCAGCTGATTCATCGCCTGGCTCTTCTCATCGAAAGCACGCTTTCCATCTGCGTCGCGCGACAATCCCGGGTAGATTTTGTCATACCTAAACATACTTTGATAAGGTAGAAAAGTTTTAAGGAAACTCACTGTCCTGGGTATTGAGACTCTTCATAAACGAACAAAAACGCGACCGACGCTAATGCTGCGAGGACGCCGGGCATTCCATGGAGATTGTGAACTCCGCATGTGTCATGAACTCCAAACTTGCTCGAAAGCATTGGCGAAATGTATTTGTAGCCCAGTACTGAAATTAGACCGGCGAGACATCCGATGATCATCGCATGCGCTGGTTCCAAGACGACGTTAGCGGTGGTTCCGATGGCGACTCCTCCGGCCAGCGTCGAGTTGGCCACATGCACCATTTCGAAGCGTCTCTAAACAAAAAAACATGTTAGTGACAGTTTTGAATTAAAATAATCTTACATGTTTGTCGACCGCCTGAGAGACCAAGAACGTCGTAATAGTGCACGCGCAGAGGGAGAGCACAGTGTTCGCGACGGCTCGTTGACGCGCATCATCGGTGGCAGCCATAACGGCATTGAAAGACGGCCAGTAGACCCAAAGGAAGACCGCTCCGATCATGGCGAAAATGTCAGTGTGGTAGGTGGATCCCTCGTTCTGATGGTTCCGCTGCTCCTTGCGCCCGAATCCCTTCGCACACGCGATTCCAAAGTACGCACCGAAGACGTGCACGACGATCGAACCGCCGACGTCGTTGATTTGCAAGTTGTGCACGCAGACGTGCTCGACGATCAGAGCCACGGGCGTCTCGATGAACGCCATTATGACGTACTGTGTGGGGGACAGTTTGCCGAGCATTGCCCCCATCGAAATGAGCACGACGGCGGCGGCGAAATCGGCGGTGAGCAGTTGCTCCAGAGAAATGGTAAAATGGAATCCATCATGAGAGGTGGCGATTCCACGCACAATCAGACCCCATTGAATTGTGAACACCGCTAGGAGCATGTTGATAGAAACCGCCGAGAATCCGTAGCGTTTCAAGAAAGTCATCAGGAAGCCGAAACCGATGAATATCATGACATGGGTGTCCTGGAACAGTGGATACTGTCCGTTCGCCTTTGCTCCGTCGCCATTGTCTGCGGTTTTACTCGGAAGGGCACTCGAGTGATACCTTCCGAAAAGTGCGAATATCACCAGGAAGGCTATCTGAAAGGCACAAATGTTTCGGGGGGTACAAAAAAGTAAACGGATACCTGGAAAACACTCAAAATGACTGTCAACTGATTCGAATGAAGACCCGACCTCATTTCGAACGAGGTTCTATAAAATGACAATGACAGAAAAGAGGTGGCGATAAAATGTTTTATTTTTAAAAGAAAAGTAGCCAGAGGTCATAAAAGTAGGTGTGTGGGCGGAGTTGAGATATCTCTGGTAGCGAGCGAGCGAGAAGAATGTGACGATCAAACGGCGGCAAAACCAAAAATCGGAAATGTGGAAAGTTGGCGAACACTGGGAACTTTTTACAGGACCACCTCTCGCACAGACCTTTTTGACAGAATTCTCACGAGTTTGACCACTTTTTGACAAAATGTGTTCTCTGCTTGTAGACAATTTTTGGATCTTTTGGCCTAATCGCCAGTCTTCGTACGCCATTCACGAGTGATAAACTTTTATTGACCACAAAAAGTGAGTGCGTACGCCGAGACGAGGTTTTAAGAGCAGAAAAACAAATTAAAGAAAAAGTGTTGAGGAAAACGTTGAAAACAATTCGAAATCGTCTCCTGCCCTCAAGTTTTCCCCATCTCCTCCACGTGCGAATTCCTGAAGAGGAATAACGAAAGATCATATCAGGTAGGTCGTCCGATTCGGTCGAGTCCAAACAATTAAAACATCGACGCTGCAGCGAAACCATTAACTGACGACGCACGTGCGATGATAGGCCGGCTTGCATGACTTTTGCGACGGCGAGACTCGGAGAAAACAACAAAGAAGGACAAGTTTGCAAAAAATCAGAAAAGTCATCAACAATTATGATTGTTCGCGAGGTTCTACGCTTAAAAATATACATTTTTTATAAAGATTATGGGGCTATTCAGCGTGTGTTTGTTTTCCGTTTTTTTTTTCGTTTTTTACATTGCTGAATTGGATTTTTGACGTAAAAAAAACGAAAAAAACGGAAAACACACATTTTTTTCACAGCCCGAATAACCCCATTATGTCAGGGCAATAATTTGTGGAGAATCGTGAACTTTCGAGCAGTTATGAGAAAGAAGCATCCGAGCGTCAGCACAGACCACGCAGCGAGCCCAGTTTTTGAAAGTCTTGTACCTTTATAAGAAAGATGAATAGCCAGAACAATGAAGTAACAACGGGGGAAAGGGAATATAGAAATAGTTGAAGAATCCGCCCATCTCGATCGGTCGGCACGCAATCATGTGGGTGGCAATCAGTTTGTTACAGCAGACAGGAATGCGAGGAGCTGTCGCAAAGAGCTGATGCTTATGAGATCAAAGTATAAGGAAAATGAGCCCGAATTGGCCAAATCGATTGGTCTGAAATTTGGGCCTAATATGCCCTTATCCAGGCCCAAGAAGCCTGCGAAAATAGGATTCGATCGGATAACTTCAAAACGCGGTAGCAAAATCTTCAAAAATGCGTTTATTCAGGTAAATATTACCAAAAAGTGCAGAGTTTGTACAAGAAACGTCAATTATCAATAAATTCACTCGTCGGTCAGCGAAGAAGAGGAGAAAGAAAAAGAGCGGAAATCTCATTCATAATTGAAAGAATTCGTTTGGTTTGGCAAAGAGAATTCGAGAGTTGCGCAGTGAATTTTAGGAAAGGGAAAGATCAGAGAAGAAGTAAATACATATGATCATCGGGGAAAGAAGTATCAAAAAAAAAGAAACAGATTTCAGTGGTCCTATACATTAGTTGCTCGCATTGAGATTTTGACCGTCGGCGGTTGGTCCGTGTTGGCCAGTGTGCGGTTGGAGCCGAGCATGCTCCGGATGCGTTGGCGAAGTGTCGTGCGGTCCGCGTTCGCAGAGCTCAGGCTCACGTCGCCTCTGAAAAAAGGGTAAAACTAGTGGGACCACTGTTGGGACCATACCTGATGCCCTCGACGGTCTTCTGCTCTTCCTTCTTGGTCACCAGTTTCTTGAGCCATTGCACATCGACGCCCAGAGTGTGGCGTCCCATTGAGCCCCTTCCGTGCTTCTTCCGACGCTTTCCGGCATCTCGCGAGCTCACCGGCAACTGCTCGTAGGGACTGACTGGCCGATGCTCCACGCCGTTCCCGTTGCCCATCGGCGTGTTATTGTTCTTCTCCTTGCGCGGCTTGTCGACCAAGTCGTGGAGAATCAGCTGCTCGGGCTTGTGCCGCATCGGCGACACCGGCTCTTTGAGCACCAGTTCCACTTGCTCCGCGCCCCGCGGCTCTTCCACGAGATGCTCGACGCACTGCGCAGAAGCCACGCGCGCGAACGTCGAGTTCTCCATCTTTGTCGCCGTCACCGTCGGCTCCGTGTCCATGGCCTCGGATGAGCTGATCGAGGTGGACGAGTTGATGGGTTCGGCGAGAATCAGTCCGCCCGGCGGAGTCGACGGCTCTTCATTATCGGCTCCACGACGTGAAACGTGGAAGGCGACGACGGAGGCGTGGTCCAGCTTGCCCGGCATGTCGGCGATCTTCTCGCGGACCATCTTCCGACGGGCTCTCTGCTCGGCCTTGGTCATCTTCTCCCGTTTGTACAGCTCCGGGTTCTCCAGAACTCGGCGCTTGGCACTAAAAGAAAGGAAAGTTTTCGTTTTTTAAAGATGCTTTGAAGGTTTGTTCACTTACGTCGATAGTTGGGTGGCAAAATGAATGAGTCTGTGGCAGAGGACGGAAGCGGTGACCGGCGGGTACTGGTACTCGGATCCCGGTCCCCGTGGAGTCGACACCTCGTTCCCAAAACCGTTCGCAATCACATCCCGCATCCGGACCAACATCAACTCGTGCCGTTTCGCCGCATCCACACACGGCAGCGAGGCGGCGCACGTGCGGTTCCGCGCGTACTCCGAGTTCTTCTCGCCGCCCCTCGTCGACACATCCAGAGTCCGATCTTCGCGGGGCGGCAGATGCGCGTTCTCCTTGTTCTCGTGCTCGCTCTTCTTGATCACACAAAAACTTGCCGACGACCGGATCGAAATTGTCGGAGACGCCGTCGGAAGTGATGAAAAACGACGTCGCCCTCCTCGACGAACGTCATCGAGCACGTGAGATTGTGCAGTTGCGGATTGCGTCCGTCGACGGGTCCGAGTGCCCCGCCGGCGTCCCGCATGTCTCTCATCTGATCAATGTCGTGGCTTCCTAGGGTCACCTCACGCACTCCGTAGTGCCGATTGTAGACGAAGCAGAGAGAGTCGCCGACGTTGCAGACGCACAGAGCCCATCCGTTGCCGCGTTTGACCGGCGCGACCAGGGCCACGCAGAGAGTGGTCAGCATGCCTCCTTCCTGGAGGATCAGCGAGTGCGCCGAGTGGAACGCGGCGAGCATCTCGTGGAAAACTTCCGTCGTGTCCGACAGTCCGTCCTTGATCACCCGCGCGTTCAGATGGTCGATGGCTCCACGGATCGCGCATCTCGCCGCCAATCTCGCGCCTTCTCCCCAGTTGACTCCGTCCGCCAGCGCCAGAATTCCGTTGTTGCTCCGCCCGACGACGCCCCACACGTCGGCGATCGGCTCGCCCGCATTCACTCCGCTCAACGGGTTCTTCTCGTACAACGAGACGCTCATTCCATAGGCGCCCTGCTCGTCGAACGCGTTCCAATCGTAGTCGTGCGCCGACGGACGGCCCGCACTAAAGTCGTGGTGCTCCCCATTCGGTCCCAGGATCGAAGAGCACGAGCCGAGGAGCAGCGAGTGTCGCGAGCTCTTCTTCAGACTCATCGAGATGGGCGCGTCCAGATCCTCCTCGTCCTCGGCCTCTTCGTCTGTGGTCCCGTCGATCGACAACGACATCTCGTCATCGATGTTCGCCATTCGGACCATCTGATGTCCGCGCACCTCGCCCACTTCCGTCAGTCCGCCTTCTGGTCCCGTGTACGAGGCGAACACGTCCGCGTCGAGGGTTTCCAATTGGATCGCCGGCAGGTCGAGACCCGTTTTTCCGAAATAAACCTCCGGGAATTCGTGGCGTCGCAGGTCGATTCCGCCGAGAAAGTGCTGGAGGACGGCGTTCGTGTCGCCACGTGGCGTTGTTGGTTCGTCGTCCTGAAATTGAGAATGTGTTGGGAGACTTTTCAAAGCCAAAAAGTTTCCCGGCCCAAATATCTAAATTAGCCGATCCAACCGTAAAGGATCAAGCCGCCAGCAGTTCAATCATCCCAATCACAACTTTCCTTTGATCCCCCCGCTTCCTTCCTCTTCTCTCTCTCTCTCTCTCTCGTGACCAAATTCATTTCTCCTCCGACTTTAACGACTCTGTTATCATTAGTCCTCGGCCGGCCGGCCCCTTCCCGAAGGGTCTATTCATCAATTTGTCTCTTCATTTATCTTCTTCCACCCCCCTATCAATCGACTGGAGGAAGAAGAAGATAGAATGGAAAATAATAAAATGAGACATTTGTTCGGTCTTACCTGATTCTCATTGTCCAAACTCGTTGAAGGACCGAACTTGGTGCGCAAGAGACCGCGCACGTGTTTTCGGATGAATGACGACGGCATGTTACCCCTGAAAGTTGCAAATAATATGAAGAAGACAATACTCTAAACATTTTTGATTTCGATTCAAAGTGACAAGTGCCCGAGTCAGAAAAAAAACTGGTCCTTTAATGGCAACAGTCTCACTTGAGTAGTAGAACCGATTCGTTCCGAAATTTCATCACGGTAAGTAAAAGGCAAAAAAAGTGAAATGCGTCAAGTGGAGGGGAGAGAGAGAGCGACACCGGAAGGACAATTATTCGAGGAGAAAAAGAAGAGAGAAGAGGAGATTTATTGGCAACGGACACGTTTCTGACAAGCGTGAACGGTGGGGAGATGAAGAGCGGCAGAGCGAGAGAGAGAGAGAATGCTAGTAGCAACTAGTGGACCCGGGAGGTATAGCTAGTAAGACCTCTTTGGTCTTGGAGGGTTCGACCATTGGACAGAGCACTAAAAGTTACCTACACGCAGCGTTTTTTCAAAAAATCCTGCTGTAGATTTGTGTTAAAGGTACGCCGCAAAACATATCGCTTAGAAAACGGCGTATAACTAAGAAACGACAATTTTAGGGATAAAATGGTCAATTGCAAGGTTGTTTAGCACAAGATTTCCTACAACTT